CAAAAAATAATTGATGTTGAAAATGCTGTTTATTATAAACACTGAATAAATATTAATAATTTAATACTTTTTTATTGACATTTTCTTTTCCTGGCAGTTAGGAATGCTGAGAAGCTTCTGTTTCACTTTTGGTAGCCTAAGAGATGTAAGAAATCTTGAGCAGGCCATGTAGAGGAGCCATAGGGAGGCCAGTCATAGAAGAGGTGAGCCTGAGACGGGGGGGGGGGGGGGGTCAGCCCCCAGCTGAGCCTAGCTTCCCAGAGGGACCCATGAGGCAGCAGCAGCAGACATGTGAGTGGTCATTTGGGACGTTCCAACCCAGCTGAAGCCTCAGATAATCCCCTGGCCAACATCTTACGTGTAGAAGAATTATTTAGCTGGGTGCAGTCATTTATAGAATGTAAGCAGCTGGGTGTGGTGGTGCACGCCTGTAATCCCAGCACTCAGGAGGCTGAGGTAGGAGGATCTCTGGAGTTCAAGGCCAGCCTGGGCTACATAGTGAGTTCAGGGCCAGCCTGAACTACAAAGGGAGACCCTGCCTCAAAAAACAAACAAAACAAACAAACCAAAAAAACCAAAAAGAATTGTAAGCAATAAATTGCTCATTGTCTTAAGTCATTAAATTTTGGGGTGATTGCTATATAGCAATAAATAACAAAACAGTGGGGGAAGGGATCTTGGGCTGCATCACGTGATGTGAACTGCAGTTTCACCCTGATTTTGAAATGATCTCTCTATCTAAGATATCTATCTATCTCAAACCCAGGGCCTTGTGCATGCTAGACAAATGCTCTGCCTAGCCTACATTCCTAGCCCTCTGCTCCTCTCTCTGTACTTAATTCAGGAGCCCTGTAGTTTAGAAATGTATTAGCTCAAATTTATCAACTGATACTGACTTTAACATTCCAACTGTAACATTCAAGATCTCTACCCTGACATAGTTTAAGCATAAAACCTGGCACTGTGATGATCCATAATCCCTTGGTCCAATATCTTGACTCCAGCTAGAAAACTTTTCCAGCAAGCCTCTGCCTTATCTAGGAAATCTCCTTTTTTATCTTTTTCTGTAAAGTCTGTTTGCAGTTTTTGAGAAGTGGAATTACAATTCCTTCTGCACAATTCTTCCAGCAGATAAAATATGGACCACTATTAAAGTCATTCTTTTTTGCCAATGATTTTAACAAGGTTTTAATGCTCCCAGCCTTAATTACAATTAATACATTAAAATAAATAAATTTGCCAGGCTAGTGCCACATGCCTGTAATCCCAGCACTGTGAGTTCAAGGCCACCCTGAACTATGTACCAAGGCCCTGTCTCAAAAAACCAAAATAAATAAAAAAATTTGGACTTTCAATTGGCAGTCTCTGTTGTGGTCTCTATGACCTTCCTTCTAAAAGCTCATTACAATTTAGAGATGAAAATGTACAATATCCTTGATAACCAATGCTGATGAACACGCTGTCAGACTGACACAGGCTAAACATTTAGATTGCATCAAAACCAGAAACAGGGCCGGGGATTTAGCTCAGTGGTTCCACAGCCTGCCTTGCAAGTGAAAGGTCCTGAGTTCGATGCCCAGCACCAAAAAAAAAAAACAACAAAAAACTAGAAACAAGTGGCTGGAAAACAACAGGAGTTTATGGTGTGACCCCATTGGTGGTCTTTTACATGTAAGTAATTATTTTACAATATAATAAATTCATAAAATTAAAATAATAGAAATACTCCTAAAAATATGGATGTTAGATACCCACCTTACACTCCTGTCATGAACTTAACCTTACTCACAAGGGCTACATCTCTCAATATATGAACATGATCAAATCTTTATTTAATTTCTCTTAGCAACATTTTGTAGTTTTCAATGTACAAGTTTTGCATATCTTTTACTGGATTTATCTCTATTTCATATTTTAAACTGTTGTGATTAGAATTATTTCAATTTTTGATTGTGCATTGCTAACAAATAGAAGTACAACTCTGTGCATGTGTGTGTGTGCGTGCGCGTGCGCGTGTGTGCGCCTGTCCAGGGACTGAACCCAGGGCCTTTGCACTGAGCTACATCCTCAGCCTTTTTTGTTTTTTATATTGAGACAGGGTTTCCCTGTGTCACTAAGTTGCCCAGGATGAATCTGAACTTTCTATCCTCCTGCCTCTGCCTCCCACAGGCACGTGCCACCATGCCTGGCTTACAGTGGTTTTCACACATTAATCTTACATCTTGGTGACTTGAACTCCTTTATCAGTTCTAGTAGCTTTTTTGGGAATTCCATCCTCTTTTCCAGATAATTGTGCTCTCTATGAATAAAGACAGTTTTCTCTCTTCCTCCCCGATCTGGATGTCCCCATTCCCTTTTCTTGTCTTACTGCGCTGGCTGGAACCTCCAGTAGCATGCTGAGTGGGTGACTATATTGAACGACTTTGCCTTGGTCCCAGTCTTAAGGAGAAAGCATTCGTGGAGCCAGGGATGTAGCTGAGTGGTTCCGGCGCCTGCCTCGAAAGTGCAAGGTCCTGAGTTCGATCCCTGGTAACAAAAAGAAAAAAAAAGGAGAAAGCATTTGTAATGGCAACATCACGCATACTGTTTGCTGCAGGGTTCGTACAAAGGTTCTTTACCAGGTTGAGGACAATCCACTCTACTCAGTCTTCTGAGAGATTTATATCACATTAATCATCAGGAAAATGCAGATAAAATGCCAGCAGACACCACTGCATAGCTACTAGATTGCCTACAATGAAAAGGCCGCTCCCCTGAAGTCCTGGTGAGGATGCAGAGCAGGGGTCAGGGCGGTGCCAAACCAATCAATCAGGTGTGGTGGTTTAGTAATCACACACCCTTAACCCCAGCGTCACACACTCCGGACTCAGCCACCTCTGGAAAAGCATGAGGTTTTGAGGGGCATCGAGACAGCCATAACATTCCAATTTCTGTCTTAGTTACTTTTCTCTCATAGCTGAGATAAAACACCCAACACCCGAAGTTAAAGGGGGAAAGGTTTAGCTCAGTTTGTAGAGGTTTCAGTCCATAATTAGCCGGCTCCGGCTCCGAGGCAGGGTGGCAGAGGGGCAACAGTTCATGGCTGTGGAAGACAGCAGAAGGGGGCCTTACCAGCGTCTTCCTGGCCCCTTTTTATCTTATTCAGACTCATAGGGCAGGTGGTGCTCACACCCTTCAATCCTAGCGCCTTCGGGCCCAGCCCGCTGTGAATCAATCACACACTCTAGATTCGGCCACCTCTGGAAAAGCTCCACCTGTGACTGCAGGAAGCTTTGGGAGACATGGAGACTCAGCCATAACAGTGGACACCACACCCAGTCGTCTGCTTTCCAGCAGCCCTGACTCTCCTTGGCCCCTGTACTTCTTGCCTGGAAACTTAGGGAAGGCTCCTGCTGGGCCCCCAACAGCCTCAACCCTGACCCCCAACACCGTGCTTCCTATAAGTACCTCCCTCTCTGTGGCCCCTTATGCCCTGCCCCACCTTCTGCCATGCCTGAGTGACCGGTGACCCCTGTCTGCTTTGTCTGTCTGGGGAGCTCCTAGAGGTCAGAAACGGACTCAGTGCCTCTCCCCACGGAGTTCACAAGGTGCTTGGATCACACAGCTTTGTTAAGGGAACTGTTCCTCCTCAACAAAAAAGTGCCAGAGGGTTCAGGACCAAAGAAGGGTCTTCCTTGAAGTGGCTGCCCGGCAGGGGAGCAGGGTTGGGGAAGAGGGGCACAAAAGAAGCCGCGAGTCTATGGCTGAGCGTGGCTTCACAGCGAGACAAATCCCAGCCATGCTCACTCGCCTCTCTCACTCCATAACTGGTGGTCCCAGATGGGTGAGTTCCATAATAAGCTCTACAGATTGATCTGTGAGTCATTCATCTTTAAATTGGAATGATCAAGTCAGGAGTATCAAAGCGCCAGGCTGCAGGAAGTAGGTGTTCTGGTCATCAGCCCCACTTTCATCTTTGCTGGGGACAAAAATGACCCCTGAGGGGTCCACAGTCGCCCTCGTGCTCTGGGTCCCGTAGACCCCAAGGCTTGGGCTCAGGGTCCCTCTCAGGGGCTTCTCTCAGGGTCACAGGCAGAGCCCCGCCCCTGCCTCCCCGACTGCCTCCAGCTGCACCTCCCACTCAGGAGGACACGGCCCGTGGCCTTGGCTCATTTCCATGACGCACAGCTCACGGGCATCCGCTCCCAACTCAGGGTGGGGGTCAGATGCGGCAGGGCAGTGTCCACCTGTGCACCCAAGCCTGCAGCTCCGCCAGCCACCTTCCCTCTGCCCGCCCGTTCCCCGGGGCACCACGGTGCCGTTTCCCTTCTGGACCGAGCCCTTCAAGAGACGGCCTGTGTCCTGCTCTCCTCTGTCCTCAGAGCCTTCTCTGTGCCTAGCAAGGGAGGCGGCAGCAAGGGCGAAGACTGGGCAAGAACGTGCCCGGCTTAGTTAGGACTGGGCTGAAGTCGTTTCTCCAGCTGTCCCCTTTTCTGAGAACTGACACGATTTGTGGGAAGAAAATGACAGCGGGCCCAGAGAGGTGGGGTGCTTAGGCTGGTTTGCATCCCCTGCAGGAAGTGGCAGAAGGGTCAGCCAGGCGTCAGGAGGCCTCGTTCCACCCTGAGCACTGACACGGATTAACCCCCCCACCCCCGTCCTGGGCAAGTTGTTTCAGTTCTCCGAGTCCTTGGCATCTGGCTAAATGCACATGAACACACTCTTTCTCACCTGTTTCGCAAGGTACCTGTGAAGGACTCAGTGCATTATAAAGGGCTACACTAAAGAAAGGGACACCACGGTAACACTGAGCCACTCCCAGGACCGCCCCAGAGGCAAAGCCTCACCCCCAGGCCCACCAACAAGGACAGGCTGGGATCTCTGGGGCACAGGCCCACCTCTGTGGGACACCTGGACCAGGCAGGAGGTGAGCAGAGACCACTGCCACCATGACACCCAGGTCCTTCCGCACCCACAGCTGGGGTGGCACCGGGGAAATGAGAGACGTCCAGCCCTGAGCATGCGCTCCAAGGAGGTTTATTGGCGAGCATGCTGGGATGCTCCCCATCCGGACAGGAAGGCAAGGCCAGCACAGGCCCCCGGAGGTGGCGAAGTTCCCGCTCTGAGCACAGCGAGTCCACCTCCTCTGTTCCGTCAGCGTCCTGAAGAGGCAGGGATCCTCTCCACAGAGAGGGTGGCTCCTGCAGGCTTCCCCGCTGTCCACGCCCCCTTGTCCATGAGGGTTGGGACCCCAGCACTGCAGGATCGGCCTGGTCTGGCCCGGCAGCCCTTGCTTCTGCCTGGACCCTGACTCTTAGAGTCTTGAGCGGATGAATCCCAGTAGCTTCTCCAGCTCCTCCTCCAGCTGCTGCTCGTCTCCGTGGTTCTCAATGACCCAGTCGAAGCCATCCAGGTTGTCCAGGCCACACTCTGACTCCGCGTCATCCACCCCTGTGGAAGGGACGCAACGAATCAGGCCCTGCCCTCGGACAAACCCCAGGTACCAGGCCCCCTGGCCCGGGGAGGGGACGCTGGCGACCCTCCTCTTCCCTCATGGACGACGCGTGTGACAGCCCAGAATCCCACGGCCACACGAGCCTCTTCAGTCTCCGGGACTCTGCTCTCGCCTGCCACTGCCCACAGAGCTGGACGGCACCCAGGGCCAGACAGCCCAAAAGGCTGCCGTGCATCCACTGAGGCCAGGCCCGCTGGCCACGCAGCGGTGGCTGTGGGTGACGGCAAGGCCAGCGACGCAACATGCTGAGCACCCTGTGTCCTGGGGCAGACGGAAGTCAGAGCTGTGCCCTGGAGGCGCCAAGCCATGCGCCACCTATACAGAGCGCAGCTGTGGGCCAGCAGCCCCAGGCTGGGCAGCCAAGGGGAAGGCCACGGGCGCAGCCTAGCCGGGCCTCTGGGGCAGCCACTGCCCTGGAAGACAGTAGGGGACCCCAACCATCCAACACCCTCGCCAGCCCCGCTCCCTGGTCTGGGGCCCTGGCACCCCTAAGCCCAGGCCGATTCCCCTCAGGGCCCTGCATTTACTTCCTCCAGGCCGGCCAGGAAGCACCGAAGACCCTGAGCACCATGGAGACCAAGGCTCTGAGCAGCTCACCTGGCGTGAACACCCAGCCCCGCTGCCGACGGCTCTGCTCCGAGGCCACCACACGGACAGTCTGCGTCACGGTGCCATAGGCCTCCTGGAACCACTGCACATCCGACACCCGTCGTGTGTCACTCACCAGCTGCAGGAAGGGATGGACGGGTGACCAACAGGACGGTGCTACAGGTGAGGGAGGAGGGCTACAGAAGCCAGAGCAAGCCTGGTGCTGGGGTGCATTCCTCTAATCGGGAGGCTGAGGCAGGGGGATCGCCATGAATTTGAGGCCAGTCTGGCCTACACAGTAAGTTCAGGTCCAGCCTGCACTATATATAGTGAGACCCTTTCTCAAAAAGAAATTAATTAGGGGCCGAGGACTTAGCTCAGTGGTGCCACCGCCTGCCTCGCAAGTACAAGGTCCCAAGTTCGATCCCCAGTACAAAAAAAAAAAAAATGAAATGAATTAATCAAATACCAGAAGCCATGGCAGTGATGCAGCTCCACCCCCACTGCACTACCTGCCAGGAGGCTCATGCATCCACCAGGGCACCAAATGGGGCGGCTCTGAGGACACAGTGGTGAGAACAGCATACCTCACGCGCCCCAGGGCCACAGTGCAGGGGAGAGGCACTAAGAGCAACTCCCCAGTAACTGGGACAGCACAGAACCCACAGGTGGCTCGGCCTCCACACAGCCAAGATGGCCACCAAGCTCCCTTCAGGCCTGCTCAGCCCACACCCTCCCCCCTCCTCAGGAGGCTGAGGCAGGAGGATCTCCATGAGTTCAAGGGCAGCCTGGGCTACACAGAAAGACCCTGTCTCAAAAATTTAGAAAAAAAAAAAGTTGCCAGCTGGGGATTTAGCTCTGTACCTGCCTCCCAAGCACGAGGTCCTGAGTTTGATCCCCAGTACGGAAAGAAAAAAGAGAAAAACAAGTTGCCTAGGCTGGATTGGAACTTTGTGACACCACACACGCACACACATGCACGCACACATGTACGCGCGCACACATTGGCCTCCCCCAATGCTGGGATTACAGATGTGCACCATCACACCCAGTTAAATCTTCAATCATGTCTCTCCTCTGATCAAACACACACACACACACACACACACACCCCGGCCCATGACTCTGTCATTCAGAGTGAAATCCACTCTTCCAAGGCCGGGTAGGATCTGACCATCAGCTCCCACAGGTCACACCCTGCCCTCCGGCTCTCCTTCAAACGCCTCGGGGACCCCACTCCAGGCTGCTGGCAGCTCCCTGTCCGCCTCCTGCAGAGCCACTTCCCCAGTGCCCCGTTCAGCCTGCACCTCCTCTTCCTTGGGGGAGCAAGCCGCCGTGTTAACAGGTCACCCTAACCCACACTAAGACATCCCAGCCTTGGCAGCCCACCTCACACCCTGAGCCTGCTTTATTTCGCTCCCAGGGTCTGCCTCCACTTGGCGTACTCTGCATTTCTTTTGTGCCATCTCCCCCATGCCTGTGTCCAACCTAAACTCCTGAAAGTGGAGACTTCGTTGCATTCCGCACCAATGTATCCCCAGGCCCTGGCACCATGCCTGAGAAAGCAGACTGGCATTTGCTGCCAGAATGAATGAAAGCAGGATGTATCCTGCACAGGTGCAAACTCCCTATGATGAGTGTTATCGTTATGTATATCTACACTGTACCAATAAAGGTTTGGCTAAAAATAAAAAAAAGAAAAAGAATGCTTGCGGAAGGAAAAGGGTAGGTAGGAGGGAGGCGCCTGTCTGGTAGGAGCCAGCTGGCGGGTGAAGAGGAGGGCAGTGCAGGCGGGCCACAGCAAGGCCCTGATTCGAGAAGCGTGACTCACAGGCCAGAGGGAGGGCTAGGGAGCCGCAGCCCAGGCCTAAGGCATAAGGCGGCCCAGAGATGGCAAGGGCCACCCCACAGGCCCCAGACCAGTGCCGCTCAGTCTTTCAGCGCTTTCCATGACACAGCCGTCCATGGAGAGGAGCACACTGCCATAGGTTCCCACCACCTGGGCCCAGACATTTGTGTTAAAGACCGACTTTTCCTGAGCACCGCAGGCCGCCACCAAAGTCCCCAAGCATAACAGTGCCGTGACTTGGCTTGTGTTTTTAAAGGCACTCCAGCTGCTGTGCAATGAACGGTCACAGGGAACCAGAGCCAGATGAGGGACAGGCACTAGGGCCTGCGATCACCCAGGAGGAGGCTGGACTTAGCCGCAGACACCGATGGGCAACGCACAGGGCTAAAGCCAGGGTCTCCGTGAGGCCGCCTTACCCACACCTGCTGGGAGACACCCTCCACGACCTTCCTGCAGAAGAAGCCGGCATCGGCCCGCCGCTTCTCCTCGCCCCAGCGGATCATGTCACTCCGATAGGCCTCCTTGTAACTGCTGGCATCCAGGAGTCGCTCGAAGCTCAGGCCATGCTCCTGCACAAAGCACATGCTGCCTACAGCCTCGGCCTGCACTGGTCAGCCCGGCCTCACCCTCCCCAGCCCGATCAGGGACGCCCCAGAAACAGAAACCTCAGACCCTGGGAGAGGGAGGAGGTCTCGGGACAGCCCAGAAACCGTTTCCCTGCATCTCTGAAGTGTGTCCTGTGCTTTTCTCAAGTTTTACCTTCCCAGTTACCTCTGGCTTAAACTAATCGCAAGAGGACTTTGCATCCCTTGGGTGAGGCTTAGCCTTCAACTTAGTGGGAAATTTGAAAAACAACAAAACAGAAGTGCATTCTGCATCCTCTGTATCCCTTCTAGTAACATCTGTCTCCATCCCAAACCCGGGGAGACTGCCTCCCACTTTCCCTCTCACCCTCCGCACACCCCAGCTTCTGGCACTCTGCTGAACTGCATCTCTCTGCTTCCAGGCTGTGCTCCACCCAGAGGGCCCCAGGAGGAAAGGGGCCTGAAAACACCCTCAGTTTCGCTGCTCCCTACTAACTGGCTGGGGAGACCCCCTCCCCTCAGGTGCTCAGATTCACGGGCCCACCTGCTGACCCAGGTCCACGTGAGGTCAGCAGCTCAGGGGGCTTGAAGTGAGAGAAGCTAATAGCCTAAGCTCCACATGCCCCAAAAGAGCCACCACACTGCAGCAGGGGTCTCGGGAACCAGGCCAGGGATGCAAGCAGCAGCCACAGCTCCAGAGCCTGGGATCTGGCTCCTCCCACCCCACAGACAACAGGGAGCCACCACGTACCTGAGCATACTGCTTCTTGAGTGGACCAGAGAGCCGAAGGACAGCACAGACATCAGCTCCGAGTCTGTAGGACAGGGAGGTGCAAAATTAGTTAACCCAAAGCTTCTAGAGGAGGAGTCCAGAGGCCTGGGCTGAAGCCTCATTTCTTTATTTTTCTTTGAAACAGGGTCTCGCTATGTAATTCTGGCTGGCCTTGAACTCACTATGTAGCCCAGGCTGGTCTCAAACTCATGGTGATCCTCCTGCCTCAGCCTCCTAAGCGCTGGGATTACAGGAGTATACCACCATACTCAGTTTGAAGCCTCATTTCTACAACTAGTACCTATGTTCGCTGGGCAGGTCTCAATTTGCCTGATCCTCTTTCCTTATCTATAAAATGGGTGTTATGGCTTGTATCTAGATATCCCCCAAAGCTACTCATAGGTGGGGCTTTTTGGAGCTGAGTGGATCTAGGATGTATGATACTGGGATTAAGGGTGCTGGTACTAAACTACTCTACTGATTTCCATTCACAGAGTTCTGGGTGTGGATAATGGGAAGGCCCACCCTGGGTGTGGGTGGCACCAACTAAAAGGCTTATAGCCAAGGAGATAAAAGGGAAAAGGAGGCTTGCTTTGCTGCTGCTCGCTGCTTTTGCTGCCTTCTGCCTGCCATGCCATGAATTGTTTCTCCTCAGTGATGGCCCTGTGCTAGGCCACCCTACCTTGGAGCCAGCCAACTATGGACCTCTACTCACAGTGAGCCAAAATAAACTGTTCTTCGTTAACTTGTGGGTGTCTGGCATTTTGTCTGAGAAAAATAACTAGGACAATGGAGATACCATTTCTGTTGTGTCTCCCATGCGGGACTATTACAAAATTCAAATGAATACACAGGAGCCCTGAAACTAACAGGTCAAACCTATAAAAGTGTAGGTATGGTGTGAGCCTCCAGGCCTGGTGCTATTCTGGCTGGATTTAGGTTCCTGCTGGGACCCTAAGCTCAGTGTCTCACAGGCAGGGGGTATCTCCAGCTCAGCTAACTTGACCATAACATAAAGAATAATTCATCACTTCAGTTAGTCACTGTACATAAACAACCACTCAGGTCCAAGTGATAGAAGACGGAAGGCCCACAATTCCCTGCCCGGACTGGTGATGCTTCAGCACCAACATGGTGAGGTGGTGCTCTTAGATGTTCTGTGGGTTGGAGAAACTGGGGTTGAGTGAGATGAATGCACTCACTCAGAGCAATACTGTAAGTAATGAAACCAATATTGACAAAATGAAAATAGCCAACTTTTCACTCCTGAGCCTCCACTAGGTGCCAAGAATTGTTCTAAGCCATTCATGTGCATAACTCATTTAACCCTTTCAACCATTCTGTTATTATTGCCACTTAACAGCTGTCAAAGCCAAGGCCAAGCAGACAGGAAACGTGTACAGGAGCACACACCCCGCACCTCACAGGCAGGGTGTGAATCCCAGCAGTCGCGTGTCAGAGCCTGGGATTCTCACCGCTCTTTGACTTGTGTTTGAGGCCGAGAGCCAGCTTGGGAAATGGAAGTGAGACAGTGGGCAAAGACTCAGGTGGTGACCTCTGCCCGGGTTCTCCTAAGACTCTTAGAATTGCTGTGGTACCAAAGCTGCGTCCTAGAACTCCCACCACACTGGCCCAGAGGAGGAGCCCCACCCCACCTTCTCCTGCTCTGCTGCTCTCCCAGCCCAGGATGCTCTCACACAGGGCATCTTGCTGGGAGAGAAAACACTGAGCAACAGGCATTATTATTAAAGGAGGCAATGAGCGAAAGCAGTCCCTGGAGCCAGACAAAACTGATTTCTTTTTTTCTGATTTGCAGAATGCACCCAGGACCTTCACATTGAGCTACATCCTTTTTTTATTTTGAGACAGAGTCTTGCTAAGTTGCCCAGGCTAGGCTCAAATGTGTGAACCTCCTGCCTCAGCCTCCCAGAGTGCTGGGATCACAGGTGTGCACCACCATGCGGGGTCTACGAAGCTGAATTTGAGTCCTGAGCAATTTCGTTTGTTTTTAACTTTTCAGTGCCTTCACTTCTTCATCTGTGAAATGGAGATGCTAACAATACTACACAGCAATTAACAAAGAGGTTACGAGGAATGAAAGAAGTCACGCAGGCGAAGTGTGTAGTACAAAATAAACAGTAAACTCCTATCACTAGTTGGTGTGCTGGCAGGAGTCCTGTCTTTGGCATCAGACACTTTCGGGGTGTGTTTTTCAAGATCCCTCGCCTGTGCCTCCGTTTACTTTTCCGTAGCAGTTCCCTGGCAACAGTGGCGAGCACAGCACAGAGCGCGCCAGCGCCCCGGCGTCGCCGTTCAGGGCTTTTGCAGGCAGACCTACAGACGAGGCTGCGCAAAGGCGGCCGACTGGCTCTCGCTCCGGGAGGGCGCGACCCTCCCTGCCCCGCGGCCCCGCAGCCCCACGGACACCTGCTCCGCAGAGCCTCGGTCACGAAGTCCTTCCCGGACTTCCTCTTCCCACTGAACAGCAGCACCAGGCGGGGGGCGCCTCGCAGCGGGGCCATGGGCAGGGACGACTCGGAGCTGTGAAGAGGACGCCGTCCGCCGAACACCTGCACCCTTTACTCACTCCACACCAGGACGGGCAGAAGACAGGAAGAAGTGCAGAGCGCAAAGGCCGCCCTTTCCTGGCGCCTTCTTCCCCGAAGCCTCCCCCCACCGCGCCACTCACTTAGACCAGGCCAGCCCCGCCCAGCGTGACGTCACCGCCAGCCCCGCCCCGCCCCCCGCGGACACCAGGGGAGGGGGGCTGGACGCAACTACTTTCCTTCGAGGGGGATGACGTCTTAAAATTTCCGGAGGTGGACCTCAGACTCCCTTCCACACACCCTGAAAACATTCAGAGAAAAAAGAGTAAATATGATAACACGGAAGAAGTTTGAAAAACTGCCTTTTTCTCTTCCTTTATGATCCACGTACTAAAGTAAATTTGCATTTTCCCCACAGTGAAAATGGGTCGCTCTGCAAAGTGCCTAACAAGGTGCTGAGGCGATGGGGTTGTCTCGTGACATCTTGTGGCGGGAAGGACTTAGTGCGACGCGCTAGTTTACGGTTAAACAGGTTTTGTAACCGGATGGGCTGATGTGATTTGACCCTGCTGGCCCAGAGAGGAACTTTGACCCCTTTTCCAGCCGCCTTCTCTTCTCCAAAAATTTTCCGAAGCTAGAGAGCTTGAAAGGACGCAGATGACATTAGTATAAAATGGGCTTTGAAGCCATGGTGGATGAGATCACCAAGTTTGGGGGGGGGGGGGTACTGGGGATCGAACTCGGGTCCTTGCGCTTTCGAGGCAGGCGCCAGAACCACTGAGCTAAAGCCCCAGCCCTAAGATCATCAGTTTTATACAGCTCCCAGCTGCATTAAGGGTGGTGAGCTGTACCTTCCGTGGGTGCCCGGTTCCGCCCCGGCCCCCAACAGCTGACGCTCAGCCCTAGTCGAGTCCGTGCAGTTGTCTTTAGCTGTGACTCGCTCTGCTGCATTTCTCTGAGCTTGTCAAAACAGGGCCTGCTGCACATTACTGCCTGAGCTGTAAAGTCATGTGAAGAGAAGTGAAATGTGGAGTCTTTGGAAGAAACTATTATATCCCTCAAGAAGAAGAAAAAAAAGTCGGGCATGGTGGCCCACACTTGTAATCCCAGCCCTTTGGGAGGCTGAGACAAGTTCAAGCCCTGCCCGGGGAATTTAGTGACTTAGTAAAACCCTGTCTCAAAAAATAAAGTACTTAGGGCTGTAGCTCAGTAAGATAGATCCCAGGTTCAATCCCTGGTACTGGGGTTAAAAAAAAAAAAAAGATAATAAAATAATAAAAAAGGGTGGATGGGAGATGGCACAGTGGCATGATCAGATGAAAAACAGACTTCAGGGGGCTCTTCCTGTAAGCATCTGAGAAAACTGCACTCATCAGTTCACTCCTACAGGGCAGGCGCTGTAGCTCTGTGGTAGAGCCCTTGCCCACAGTATGCAAGGTCCTGGGAGAAAAGCATAGAGTGGAGTTTTCAAATCATACCTTTGACACTGCAGAAATGTGATCTTCAGCAAGTCACGGACTTCACAGTTACAGTGCCCACCTCACAGTCTTACAATAAGAAGGAAACGAGAGCCGAGTGTGGCGGAGTATGTATCTGTAATCCCAGCACCCTGGGAGCGTGAAGAAGGAGAATCAGAAATTTAAACCCAGCCTGGAAAATTGAGCAATTGAATGAGACTGTGTCTTTAACTAAAACGGGGCCCGGGCCGGGGATTTAGCTCAATGGTTCCACTGCCTGCCTTGCAAGAGCAAGGTCCCGAGTTTGATCCCCGGTACGAAATAAAATAAAATAAAACAGGGCCAGGTGTGGTGGCACATGCCTGTGATTCCAGCACTGGGGAAGGTGAAGATCAAAGCGAGTTTGAGGCCAGCCTGGGCTACATAGTGAGATCCTGTCTCTAAAAAAATCAATAAATAGGCTGGGGACAGGGATGCTGCTCATTGCCAAGATCCTGGGTTCAATTCTAGTTCCATAACAACAACAACAAAGAAAAATATAAACTGCAATAAAATAAAATATTCTGTAAATTCTGAAGTATTGACATAATCATGGCATAGTCAGAGACCACTATAGGTACAAAGGATGAACAAACTCCTAGCCCCTAACCTGTTACTCATCAAAAGCATGATTTGTTTTTCTTCTGAGGCAATCAGGAACTTCAGGCCATTTCGTAACCCTTTGTTTGGGCCTACAATGACCAGCGAGAACTAAAAACAGAACAAAGTTTGACTTTCATTTTGTAAAACTCGGTCAAGTCCTCCTCAGCTCTGCTTTAGGCCTGTTAGGCATTTGGAGAATGTCTAAATGTTGGCAAAACAAGGAAACAAGGTGTATTAGCCCTGACTTTTCCTCGCCTATCTTATTGCCCTGCAAGAGATTCACAGCTGCACCCTGAAGTCTCCGCCCCTAAACCTTGGTCAACTCGGATTCCAGCAGAGCCTCACAGGACTGAAACTGCCACTTGGGTCATGAAGATTCCGCCCTAAAATCCAGCTGCCCCTCAGGTCTCAAGGATCAGTCTGAGCGAGAACAAGACTGAGATCATAACGCACCAGAACCAGCCCCTGGCCCCCCTGCTTTTGTGGCTGGGCCAGTCTGGATCCCTCCCTCAGAGTGTACCTACCCGGCCAGCTACGCCTGCTCTAGGCCTTTCCTCATCTGCTCTGAAGTTCTTCCTTGGGGACCTGCTTGATCTTTGTCAGGGCCCTGCTCCCCTTTCCTTTCTCACTCTTTTTTTTTTAGATGGGGTCTCGCTTTGTAATTCAGGCTGGCTTCTAACTCACTGTGTGGCCCAGGCTGGTCTCAAACTCATGGTGATCCTCCTGCCTCAGCCTCCCAAGTACTGGGATTACAGGCCTGCACCACCACACCCGGCCCATTTTCTCTTACTCTCAAAGCTTTTGCCTGCAAATAAATGCTCTAGTTTTAATGTGTATCATCACTAAAGCAAAGACCCCTGCTAGCTGGTGACAGTATCAGTTTTTAGAGGATTATTATTCTTAGCATTTTGTGTTTGAAGTTTGTAATTCAACACAGGATCAGATTTTCAGCTCATCTTCCATAAGTATTTGTTTGAATCCCCTAAGGTTACAAGGATTAACCTTACTCTACTTTCCCGGTTCCGTGTCACCCCCAGGGAGGAGTCAGAGCTTCCTCCCCATGTGTCTTCCCTCATCTGACTGTCTCGGCCCAGCCCAGGCCTCGCACCCTGGATGGAGCTCCCTGGAATTCAGTCTGTGGTCGGAAAAAGTCCCCACCCCAGCTCTTCTCAGCCACTTCCTTCCTGCTGCCTGCCACACTGCCCCACTGCCCTCTCCACCGGGCTTTTCCTCCTCCCCCAACGCAGAGCTCAGCACAGACCTGGGGTCCATGCCTCCCGCCCCACTGCAGTTTCCAGATCTTTGCTTCCCTGCCTCTGCCTGGGTTCCCCATTTCCCCTCCTCAGTATTAACAACCCCAGCCTGGATTCATTCTCATTTACCGAGATGCGGGTCCCATCCCCTTTTCCACCCACTTCCAGTCATCACATTCATCAATGGCCCAGGCTGTTCAAAGCGTGTGTGTGTGTGTGTGTGTGTGTGTGTGTGTGTGTGTGTGTGTGTTTTACCGGGGATTGAACCCAGGGCCTTCTCACTAAACCACATCCCAGACACACACATTCTGAGACAAGTCTCACTAAGTTGCCCAAGCATGGTTCTGCCTTGTGAACCTCCTGGCTCAGCCTCCCAGACTGGTGGAATTACAGGCGTGTACCGGCATGCCCAGCTTGCTCAAAGCCTTCTGCCTCTGCCCTCAGGCACCAGCTCCTATGGACACATCCTGGGCCTCATCACCAGAAGCCCAGAAGCCATCCAACCTGTGGGCTCACACACTAGCCCACCCCTCTCAGGTGAGTTCCTCAGTTCTCCCCAGAGCAGTGCTTCCTCCCCAGCCCGGAAGAGCCGTGAAACTGTTCTGCAGCATGAGCTCTGCGTGCCCTATAAATGACAGGGGAATAAGTGAATTGGGGGGCTTTTTAGGGGCACTTGGAGGCCACGACTCCCCCCAGAGACTAGTGGGGGTTCCTTCGGTGGGGCTCCCCAAGGCTAAGACCCCATAACCCCATAGCCAGAGGCCTGGGTTCCTGGGCCCTCCTGGAGCGCCCTCTGTCCCTCCCGTGCGGTCCTCCCCGGGTGGCCTCCTTCCGTGCTGCTGCTGCCCCCCTGTGGCCACCACTAGGCATCGCTGCACGAGGAGGCAGGAGGGAGGTCGCTGCTCAGGCGCACAATGGGGAGAACGTGCCAGGCAGCGGACAGCTTCTCCAGGCTCAGCTCAGGGGAAGGGCGGGGAGGGCAGAGCCATTGCCAGGCAGGGGGCGGCACCCCTGGGCTCCGGGCTCCACTCTGTCCCTGGCCAGCTTGGACATTCACTTCCCTCTCTGGGCCTCAACTCCATCTCAGAACCACAGAATGGGTCACGAAGGGCCGGATTCTCCTACCATAGGCTGGCCCGGTGGGTGGCAGGCGGTGGTCTCCAGGCCAGGTGCCCAGGTGGCCGGAGGGTTGGGGGTGGAGCACACAGACCAGGGGGAACACCCGGGAGCTCAGCTTGCTGCATCTGAGCTCCTGAGCCGGCAGGGCGGCAGGGCCGGGAGGCCTCAGTAGCCTCAGATGCCTCCTAGGGCTCCTCCTGTCCCTGTCTAGCTGTGATGGGACCGCAGGCCAATCACCTACTCTCTAAGTTGCTTCATCTGTAAATGGTTTTACTCCTTCCAAGTCTACTTCTCCAGAGACAAAAGGCACAAGTGCTTTACATTAATGGCCCTGGCCAGGTGATGGGGGGGGCGGCTGCCTTCCTGCAGGCCCCTCCCTGCCACACTGCACATGAGCAGGCCCTGGTGGCTTCTTGCACCAGGGCCGCTGACTGACCTCCCCAGGGGTCCCCCAGCACTGTCCTGTCCACGGCTGTGGCTTCAGGTTTCTCCTCGTCCTCCCCCAGCCACATGACCTGTCCCTCTCACTCCAAACAAGGTCTCTGATGACCTGGCTGACTCACTCTCCTTTGCCAGTACCCCCCAAGGGCCATGAAGGTCAGCGTCCCCTGCTGGTGAGCTCCTCTGCTGAGGGCCCCGCTCCAGAGGGCTGGCAGGGACAGGCAGCCTGGCGGACCAGGTGATCTTCGGTGGCCAGCCCTGTCCCTAGGCCCATATTCAGTGTCCCAGCACCCTATCCGCTCCACCCTCCACCCCCCACAAAACCGGCCTTTCTTCCTCCTTCCCAGCATGGCACCGCAGGGCCATAGTCACCCACAGGTGCAGAGGTGGGAGGTGGGCTGCCCTTAACTCCTCCCTCTCCCTGTCACCAGGCATCCAAGGTCACCAGACATTCTTTTTTTTTTTCTTTAACGAAATGAGCAAAAAGCAGTGGCAAAGTTTATCTGAAAAAGTAAAAGTGAGGGCTGGGGATTTAGCTCAGTGGTTTCGCCACCTGTTGCACAAGCGCAAGGACCTGAGTTCGATCCCCGGTACCAAAAAAAAAAGTAAAAGTGAAGAGTGAGGGAGAAACTGTCTCTGCAGAGCAAGCTTGGGCTGAGTAAGAGGAAAAAGCAAGATAAATGAACACCCTGGAGAAAGCAGGCTGGCCGTCTTCAGGAAAGCCATGATAGTGTTTGTTCATTGTTTGTTTGTTTGGGGGGACAGGGTCTCACCATGTAGTTCTGACTGTAGCACAGGCTGGCCTCAAACTCACACTGATGCTCCTGCCTCAGCCTCCCAATTGGAGTGCTGGGATTTACACCACCATCCCCAGACATTCTAATTCAGGACCAGAGCCATCTCCCTTCTGGCTGCTGACTAATTCAGTCACCAGCTGATGTGAGACCTTTTTTATGATAACAGAAATCAAACCTAAAATGATAGTATGGCTCTAAGGAGCTGCCAGAAGGGGCACAGCCTGATGGAGGGGCATGGCCTACAAAGAGACGCGTTCTTAGGGTGCTGTGGTGGGCCTGGATCCAGGGAGTCACGGCCTCACTCCTAGCTTCACAGCTCCAGAGAGACCCTCGGGACTTGGTGGGCAGCACAGCTCCATGGGAGGAAGCCTTGCGGTTTGAAGGGCAGTCTCAGCCACATGAAGCTCTGCTGGAACCCAAGGTGTACTGGTCAGCTTTCCTGTAGCTGGGACACAATACCCAGGATTCACACTTGAAGGAGGAGAGGTTCAATTTGGCTCACGATTTCAGAGATTTCAGTCCATGGTCAGCTGACCCCAAGCCAGGAGCATCATGGCGGAAGGATGTGGTGGAGCAAGGATCCTTAATTCATGGTGTCCGGGAAGGGGAGCAGGGAAACAATGCCAGAGGGGAAAGGGAGAGGAACCAGATGTGTCCCTAAGGTCAGGCCTCTGAACCCCCCACAACACACCCAGAAATGTGCTTTACTGATCCCCTCTGTGGCTCTCAAACCAAGCTGGCAAAATTAAGCTTAACCACTACAAAGGCGGCCACAGGTCTAGAGCAGTGGAGATGTTCCAGTGTAGGTGTCCCCAGTCTTAAAGGGTCATGAGACAAGCTTGGTAAATTTTGGGCTGAAAAACCTTGTTTTGCCAATTTTTAGACAGACATTCCCTAACAGGCCTACATTCAGAGCTGAGAAGGATTTGACTCAGTTACACAAAATGAAGGTCAAGCTTTGTTGTACTTTTAGTTACCTGTTGGAAATCTGTGGGCCCAAGTGAAGAGTTACAGTTTTAAGAAAATTCACTTTTAAGTCCCCGTGTATCTTAGAAGAAAACACAATTTTTTCTTTGGTACCAGGCTCGAACTCAGGACCTAGTGCTTTCAAGGCAGCCGCGAGGTGCCACTGAGCTAAATCCCCATCCCATGATTTTTATTTTTGAGACAGGGTCTCACTATGTAGCCCCAGGCTGGCCTCGTGACCCTCCTGCTGGGATTACAGGCATGTACCACCACGCCCAGCAAAAAATCATGCTCGAATGCCTGTGATCCCAGGATTCAGGCGAGTCAGGAGGATTGCAGTGAGTTCAAGGCCAGCCTGAATTACATATTGAGGCCCTTTCTCAAATAAAAAAAAACAAACCTATTTTAACACTTGTTATGGTTGGGGTCTGAATGTGCCCCCACAGCCTCTTTCTGTCAGAAGTAGCTGAATCTGGAGTGTGATGCTGGGATTAAGGGATTAAACCACTACACCTGAGTGATTAGATTAATACCACCCTACTCCCAGTAGTCTGGCTGGGATGAAAGAGGCAGAAAGACACGGTGAAACTCTCTGGTCGCTTTTGCGGTCCTCCGCCACTATGAACTATTGCCCCTCTTGTTGCCTTTGCTGCCTTGTGCCCTGCCATGCTGTTTCTCCTCTCTGATGCCTGTTTGCCATCCCTGCCTTGGAGCCAGCCGATTATGGACTGAAACCTCTACGAACTGTGAGCCAAATAAACCCCTGCCCCTCTAATTTTTGGTGTTGGATATTTTGTCTCAGCAAGGAGAGAAAAGTAACACAACAGCACAATAGGCCCTCCATGTCCACAGGGTCCACATCCATGGATCCAACCAGCCACAGATAGAAAACACCTGGAATATAACACTTGAAAACAGCACGGCACAGCTGTTCACACAGCATCCACGACGTATCGGGTATTGTAAGTCACCTAGAGATGATTGAAGTGTGGAGGAGGAAACACGTGCATAGGAAACATGCAAATATCACGCTATTTCATGTCTGGGAGCTGAGTGTCCATGGGTCCTGGGATGATCCCCTGGATGACTGTGCTACCACGTGCAAAGCTCACGTTGCTGTTACCGTGACTTGTTTAGGAGAGGTAGCACAGTGTCCACTTTAGTGATGAGAAGCCCGAGCTCTGCCACAAGCAACACTTCAGGCCCAGGGTTCTCGGTGACCACGGCAGAGACCTGACACTCTGGGCTCTAGAGTCAAATCCTGCTTAGGCCAAAGCTCTACTCAGAAAAGACCCAGGCTGGACCCTGCCTGGCCCGGGACACACTAGCACTTGGAGCTTTTCTTCTGTGTTGTCCTGTGTGGAAGGAGCAGGCACCTACTCTGGAAGGAAAAGACTACCAAAAGCCAGGCTGCAACCCCAGGGGGCCCCTGAGGAGGACCGGACGCTCACACAAGAGCTTGGGTGTTGGCAGGAGGCATCAAGGTGGTGGTGCTGGCAGGAGGGTGGGCTGACAACACCCGCTCTCCCCCTCTGCCGCGTCCTCCCGGGCCCTGCCGTCAGCCTGGGAAGGGCCCAGGCACAGCTGTGGCCCAGAACTGGGCCTGACCAGATTATCTACATCAGGATGGCCCTAGGAGGTTCCCATGGCAACAGCCGGCCAGCCAGCCAAGCCAATTGCCTGTCACGGGCCCTCGGGGGAGGCTGCAGTGCTCTCTGAAGAAGCACAAGCCTTGGGCCTCCAGGGGTCCAAGAGGGTGCCAGGCCTGAGGTGATCCACCCCCACCACTTGCACCCCAGAACAGGCGGGAGGGGAAGGCTGGCTCCTGGGGGACCTGGGAGGCAGGGAGAGACAGGAGACTCCGGAGGAGGTGACAGGGCCACAGGTGGCAGGGGCTAAGCTGAGGGCACTGGAGGAAAGGGTGCTAGAGAAGCCAGGGAGAGGAGTGAGGGCTCAAGAACAGGAGGCAGGGAAAGCAGGAAGGAGGAGCGGATGGGGGCCACTCAGAAAGGAGTCGGGGGGCCTCACCAAAGGAAACAGAACTTCACCCCTGAAGGGGAGGCCCAAGAGGGCTACTCTCAGGCCAGTGATTCCCGAGCCCCCAGTTGGGCCCTCAGGGTGGGGGTGGGGTTAAGGGGGACTCCCCCAGAAGGCAGGAGCCAGGCACAGCAAAGGCCAAGGGCCTACACTGGAAGGGCCCAGCCTGGACCCTGCACGGCCACATGAGGTGTGTAGCGGAGTCCACGGCATCACTGCACCCAGCCTGGCCAGGAACTGCCCCAGCCACATGGGGAGTACAGTGCATCCTGCGCTCCGTCTCCACACACTGGCCCCCCATGCACGCAGCTCCTGCTGACTGATGTTCACAAGGGCGACGGACAGGGGCCTGGAAGCTTTGGAGGATGTCAGGATGACTGCGTCCATGCCCCTGGTGCCCTGGCCCTCCCACATGCCACTTGTATTAAGGCTCTGTTCTTCCTGAGTCCGAAGTCTGCAAGACCTCAGCCCCAGACAGCTGTGTCCTGACTGGGTAAGGAAGACCAAGGGTCCTGGGGGAACCTCCCAGCCTCCTGAGAGTTCAGCAGGCAGAGGAAAGGGGCCCTAGAAATGCAACCCAGAGGCCCTGAGAGGCCAGAGAGAGAGAACCCAGGAGGCCATGTGCGTCCCCGCTGCTGGGTCCCAAACAGGATGCAGCTCCTGCCAGCCATCCACAGCCCGTCTCTCTTCAGCCACCCAGTCTACCAGTCAGCTGTACAAGCAGCAAGGATTCTGAGCACTTGCAGAGGTGAGAGACGTGAGCAGGGTGAAGCTAGGCCTCCTCGAGGAAGTGTCCAAAGAGCCTGGTGCCCAGTCCAAGCCTACCACTGGGCCAGTCTGTACTCGCTTCTGCCAGCCTCCATTGCAGAAATAGAAGAGTCCTCCTTACAGCTGTCCAGCCTGTACCACTGCCCCGCCTGGGAGGAAGTTCTTCCCGGGCCTAACTGGAGTCCCTCCTTTGGTAGGATGCAGGCTCCACTGGACGCTAAGCCATGAGTCCAGCACCTGTGTCCCCCGGCCTGTCTCCAGTACACACTAGATGACAAGCGTTTGCACAATGAGTCTTCCACCTGCAGCCCTGCCTGACCATATCTGAATCTACTGAGTTTATACACTTAAGTCCCTTAAAAGGTGTCCCACAGCACCTGCTGAGTAATCAGCAATGCCCTTCCAGAGCCTGTGGTCCCTCCCAACCCGCCCTACCCCCAGAGTCCCAGGGAGGCCAAGCCAGCCCAGTGAGGGCAGACCTCAGGGAGGGTCCCCAGGCACCAGGGGTCACAGCGTGGGCCGGGCCAGGGCAGCAATGCCTGGAGCACGTGTGGAGCCCGAGTGCCACCTAGCGGCCCCCTCTCCTGCCCAGCCCAACACCAGGCGGGGGTGAGGGCTCTCTGCCCTTCCACCTTGCTTCAAAGACGGCAAAAATTTGAGTGCTAAAACCAGGGCAGCCATCACTTTATTTAATCTCTTTCTCAGCCCTTCAACCCCCTTTTTGAGGATGAGGAGCCCAAGGTTCACAGAGATTAATTTGCCCAAGATCACTCAGCCCAGAGTCAGGCCTAAGGTCAGACTCCAAAGCCAGGGCCCTTACCTCTCCCAGGGCGAAGGCACTAGAGCGGTGAGCATGAGGTGAAGCTCCAGCCCGGGGGGCCTGGGCTCGGTGGGAAGGCATCCAGGGGAGAGAGCGGGAGAAAAGCTGAGTGCCAGGCCCACCCGGGTGGCAGGGTGAGGTGGCCCCAAGTCAGACAACCCTGCCATGACCCCACAGTTCTCAGGGGGAGTTAGGGCACGTGAGAAGCAGGGGGAAAAGGCCCTCACCCCCTAGAGACAGCTGCTTCCAAATACAACAAAACCCCACAGCAAGCCCTGGCACTGGGCCTCCCACCAGCGATTCAGTCAGTCCCAGGGGGCACTGGGTCAGGGGTGGGGCAGAGGCACGCAGAACAGGGTGAAAGCTCTCTGGCTTTTCTCGGAATCCGAATGCGAATGCCCTCCTCCTCCTGAAAACAGGCTGCCTTCCCATCCCCCTCACAGGGGCCAGAGCCTGTGCATTTGATTGACAGAAGGCAGGTCCAGATAAGGCCTTTTCTAGAGTGGTATCAGTGCAGGGCGGGGCGCTGTGCTCTCCTCTGTGAAGGACACCCAAGGACACCAGCTGAGCCTGAGAGGCCAGCCGCATGGTCCGCTGAAGCCAGGAGTCAGGTACTCCGGGCTGGGCCGGGCCCACGCGCTGGGCTCAGCCTCAGTGGTAGGGCTGGGGCCTGTGCTCCTCCCTGGGCCCCACGACTCGGGGGCTCCGAAAGTGCTTGTCCCTCTTCCCTGACCTGTGGGGGGACATGGGGTGGGAGGAGAAAGAGGCCTTGAGCAGACAAGGAGGGGATCCTGTTCTTCCTCACGAAGCCAGCCCGGGCGGCCACCACCAAACACGAGGGAAAAACTGGCCTCGCAGGATGGGGAGGCGGGAACGTGGGGTCTTCTGTACACCCCAGGACAGGAGCTGCAGGCAGGCAGGGCAGCTCAGGAGAACCCCCACCCTGAAAGGGCCTCCTCAGGGCCCCGTGGTCCCCACAGGAAGGCGGCAAGTGCACCGGGATGGCTTCCCCAAGGGAGGCAAGCCAGGGACCACCAGTCCTTAAAGGCCCCGTGCAGGGCCTGCTCCTGCACTGCCTTCCCAGTGCACCCACTCCGTCCCACAAGACCCGACCGAGTCCCCACTGCCCACCTCCTCTTCAGTGCTTTGTCTCCCAAGAGGTGGCTGAAGATGAAGTCCTCAAAGTCATCTACCTCATCATCATCACCTGTCCACCTCGCTGCCACCTCCTCCAGGCTGTCTTCCAAGGCATCCACGAAATCCCGGAAGCGGAGGCGGTCGTGTCGGAAGACGCCATCCTCATCGAAGTAGGCAGGAGAGAAGGGCAGTTTCTTGGCCAGCTGCCCGGCCCAGGGAAGCTGCCCAAGGTATGTCCTCAGCAGAGAGGCCAGCTCCTGCTGCCGCACGGGGGCCAGCTCCGTGCCGAAGAAGGCCAGGCCCTCCTGCCGGGCACACCCGGCCACGCCCGAGCAGCCCTGGGGTGCCCTGTACTTGCGCCTCAACAGCTCCGCCCAGTGGGGCAGCGAGTCCTGACTGTCTTTAGGCCCCTCCCTTCCCTGGGAATGCTCCTGCCTTTCTCCAGAGTGGTGACTCGAACTTTTCCACGCGGGTTCCTTGGGGTCCTGTTGTTTCCCATCCTTCCACGCCCCCCACTTTTCCCCTCCTGGTTTGTCCTCCTTCCACCTCCCTGCCGGCTCCCTGTCCTCGCCCCCAAAGCTCTTCCTCCTCTCCCAGCCAGACTCTTTCCTATGCTTCCAGTGCTCAGCCTTCCCATCCCTCTGCCCGTCATGCCACTTCCCCTTGCCAGCTCTCTGGGGCTTCTGATGCCAGGCCTCTGAGGCATTGGCCAGGGCCCCAGGGTCCAGGCCCCAGTTCTGCAGGCCCTTCAGCATCTGGGCCAGTCTGTGGCCCAGCTCGGCCAGGCCAGCGTGGGCAGGGTCCCCTCGGCCGGCGTCCCGCAAGCTCCTCTGCAGGTCCTGCTGCACAGAGTTCAGCAGCTGCCGCTGTCTCTGCAGCTCCCTCCTCAGCACCTGGGCCTCCGCCTCCAGCTGTGCCTTCTCCTCTAGGAAGCTGGACCCTGGGTCCTGCTCCATGGTGGCCTTGCCGCCCTGTGGGCTGTGGCCCCAGCTGAGGCACACCCCATCTGGGCCCTGGGTGCAGTCAGCCCCCAGTGCCTGGATCCGGGTCCGCAGCTGCTGCAACTCTGACTCCAGGGCCTGCTGGGAGGCCTCGCCCTGCTGCAGGGCCCCCTTGAGCCGGGCGTTCTCCTCCTCCAGCTCTTTGGGCTGCTGCATCAGGCTCTGAAGCTCTTCTTTCTGGGCCTAGAATGTGGTTAGGGACAGAAGAAGCCACAAGAAGTGCTTGTCAGGACAGGCCCCATGCCTTCCATCTCAATTCCATTCCATCAGAGCAGACAGGCAACCAACCCCTTGATGGCCTGGGACACTGTCTTCTCCCAGTGCCATCACCACCCTAGACCAGGTCCTGGAACCCCCAAATTCCATCCTGGGCCTCAGCATCTGTGTCCTCACATTAGCACACTTCCTAGCTCCCCTAAAGGTAGCCAGTGTGTAGCTCCAGTGGCCCCATTTTCGCCTCCCCCACCCAGAGCTGACACTGAGGAGTGATCACAGTACTTGGCATGAGCCTTGGATGCTGTTCAAACCCTTCTCCGCACAACACTCAAAGGACGAACACACCAGTCATTCAGAGGTGAGATGCCATGAAACACATACGCCAGCCTGGCACAAACCTTGGCAGGAGGAATCCAAACACAGAACTAGGAAAGCGAAAACTCCTTTTCAGGACGGACACCAGGACAGACACCTGGCTAACTGAGCCTGTACTGTCCTTCCTGTGCCTACCTGCAGCTGGGCCTGCAGCAGCCGGATATCCTGGTTCTCCTTGGCCAGCCTGTCCAGCAGAAGGCCCATGTTCTGCAGGCTGGGGACACTGTCAGCGGAAACGGAGGCCTGCAGCTGTTCCCTCAGTCTATCCTGAGGACAGAAGAACCAGCTACTTCACTCTGTCCTATCGCCCAGCCGCCCGGGTTCTCCCCTCCAGGCCCCACACCTGTGGAGACCTTCACACGTACCTGCCCGTCTGCCTCGGCACCCACCAACTCAGCGTCTGAGCCAGCATCGGAGAAGACCTGCAGCTCTGCCTCCTCCACGGGCCCTGCAGGAAAATGGGGCCTGGACCTAGCCCCACCCCCACTCCCAGGCACCCCCTCCTGCCGTGCCCACCCTGCAGCCCAGGCAGCTAGTAAAGGTGTCGCCCAAGCAGCTGATACGATCAGGAAGTAGGGAATGACATGCAACCCCAACAACAGCTGTAACTGGTCCTAACCCAGCGAACACACATGCACATGCACACCTGCACCAAGCACACACCAAGCCCTCCCCGCTCACCAGTGTCCAACTCGGAGAGGCCACCTGCGGAGGGAGAGGGAACAGCTGAGGCCTCAGGGAAGGCGCGAGAGGCAGGAGGGGAAGTGAGGTGCCACTCACCAGAGAAGAGGAGGACGCCCAGGCCCAGCAGAACCAGGGCCCCGAGGAGGCACATGTTGAGCGAGATGCCCAGCTCCCCACCGGCACCCCCAGCCCTGGCCTGGTCCTCCACACCAAAGGGCGCTGCTGTCGGAGGCGGGCTCAGTTGGGGGCCCCAGCGTCTCCGCAGGCCCTCCACGTCCATGTCGGTGTCATCCTCACTGGTGGAGCAGCAGCCCTCCTCCCGAATCCAACCTAGGGGCGGGACAGGACAGAGAAGCCACTGCAGAGACAGGACGCAGAGGGGAAGTGAAGGAAGGCACAGAGACCCCCGCCCGCCACAGAGGGCACCCGGGACCCTGCCCACTCCTGCTGGACACTGATCACTGCCCCTGCCCAGATCGGGGGCAGGAGACCCATCCTTTCAGTCTGCAAATGATAAGAGCCGTTTGGGCATGGTGGTGAACATCTGAAATCCCAGCACTCAGGGAGGCTGAGACAAGAGGACTGCAAGTTTGAGCCCAGCCTGGACAACTCAGGGATGGAGTGAGAGCCTGTCTCAAAATGAAAAATGATCCACCTGCTTCGCAAGCGCAAGGACCCGAGTTCGGTTCCCGGTACCAAAGAAAAAGAAAAATGAATAAAAAGGCCTGGGGTTGTAGCTCAATGCAAAGGCCCTGGGTTCAATCTCTCATACTAAAAGAAGAAAAGACAAGAGCTACTTTCATCCTTAGAAGCTCCCTCCTTCCTCCAGTGTGGGCTCCAGCTTCTGCAGGGCTGCCATCCTTCCATGGCCTGGGACCCTCTGGCGGTGCCCTCTCAGTCTGCTCCCTAGCTCCTCTCCACTCCCGTGGGCAGCAGTGGTCTTCCTGCCACCTGCTCAGTGCTCTGCGCCTCTCCAATCACAGGTCACAGCCCTCCCACCCGCCCACAAGCCCCGGCGTCCCAGGGGACGCTGTGTCCGACTGCCGCACACTACCTTCTAGATGTCCTCAGGACCAGGCTGCCTCCTCTCCGGTCCCTTGGCTCAGGGAAAGGCAGCTCTGCCTCCCACCCCCACAGACGGCTCCAGCTCAGCTCGCCCACAGCCACGGCCCGCGAGCTCTGCAGAAGGATGTCCTCTTGTCCTGCCTTCCCTGCTTGCCTCTCCTGTGCCTGAGGGTCCACTCAAATGGCGCCTCCAACTGCTCTCCCTTGCCTCGGCCTGTCCCTCTCCATTGGGAACCCTTCATCACCTGGCCTGAGGCCTCCCGGGTCTGACCAGCACCCTGGCTTGGCCTGGTTGCTCCTAGAGTCCATGAGCACCCGCCTGCCCTCCTCCCAGCCCAGAGCTGGCACCAGACAGCAACTGCAGGTGAGGACTGAGTTCTGGAAGCAGGAAGAGGTGGTGCCGGCAGGGGGAAGGGTCAGTCACCTGGGGCCTGTGACCCCACAGGTTGCAGCGCCCAAGCTCTCTGGGCCGTGACCTCAGGGGTGTGGTGAGCAAGGACCTGAGCACCTGCCCCCCGCCGTATGGATGGCTGTTCCCTCTCACACCCTCCAGGAGGCAAGCGAAGGACTCTCACCTGTTTTAGGGGTGGAGGGCGGGCTCTGCAGGGTGCTCTGGTCCTCCGGGTCTCGCATGTCCGGGCCCAGGCTTGCTGCCATGGGGGTCTCCTGCAGGTCTCCCTGGAGCTCTGTGTCCCCTGGGCCAGGGGGCTCCACACCAGGACCATCACTGCCCACAGCAGTCTGCTGGGCACACAGCTGTAAGCAGCATCCGCCCTCCAACTCCCGCCCTGCCCCTGGTGAGGGCCCTCACCTCGGCCTCAGTCTCCTCCGGCACAGTGGGACCAGCCTGGGGTCTTTCCGTCTGGAAGAAGTTCTCTATGGAGAGAGAAAAGGCCCAGGAAAAAACCACTGAGCCCAGCTGAACTTCCTAACCCACCCCTGGCTCCCACACACCCCGGCCAGGCTGCCCTGGAAATGGGAACCCTGGAGAAGAGCTATGCCGATGCCCTCTGCAGGCCCCGTTACCTTCTCCATCCAAGGCCCCAGCTAATTCCGCACCATCTGCCTGGGTGGTTTGTCGAGGCATCTGGGGGTCCCTCTCAGATTCAGGGTCTGTCCCGGGTTCTGGCCCCAGGGTCTCCACAGGCAGGCCCTGGAGGAAGGGGTAAGCAAGGGCTACTTCGAAGGAGGACAGCAGGCCAAACCGGGAGCAGGGGTGCTGTGCTGGGGTCCCTGGGGCCAGCTGCACATTCAGGAACCCCACTCACGCCTCAGAGATCATCGCTAGGCAGAGAGCCGGACCCACTTAGGTCAGCTGCTTCCTGACCTCAGGGCTGCTATGAGGAACCCACAGAAGCCAGGGGAAGATGACAACGTTTCCTGGGCACCCAAGGGTCAGAGTTACACTCCTGGCCGCTCCTGCAGCTGCCCGTCTGCTTATATCCTCCGTGCTTTTCTGTCTTTCCCTCTGCCCAGCAGCTGCTGGCAGAGGCCCAAGTGCCGCCCCAGGCTGCCTGGCTGCTGGGAGCTCAACCCCAGCCTCCAGCCCGGCCTCTCTGCATGCCCACTGCCACCGCCCATCCACGGCTCCTGCAGAATACTCCCCCCCCCCCAGAACAATCCTGGACCTCTGTGTGTTTCTTTTTCTCATGGCCCTCTCTACAACACAAGACTCACAGCCTCGCTTTAGAGGGTAGGACACAGAGGCCAAGTGGCTTCCCCAGGTCCCTCGGCCATCAGCCAGGGCCCCAGGCCAGGGCTGCCTGAGAGCACGTGCCTGCTGGCACCCACCTGCCTCCCCTCTCCCCTCTGCCAGCTCGTCCAGGAAGGTGTCCTTCTCCAGTGTCCCATCTACATCAGCTCCTCTCCTCCCCTCCTAGAGGCCCCAACGCTGCAGTCACAGGGGCTGGAGATTTTCCCTCCCAGACTGCCAGCGCCCACCTCAGCGCCCCTCTCTTCAGGACACAGGAGCCCTCTGGATTCCTGCCACACCAACTGCTACCACATGGCTGTGGGCGCCTTCAGTACACTGTGCCCACACACACAGCGGCTTGGCCTCTTCCAAGGCCATCCCTGTCCTCCCACTCAGGGCCTTCACTGACTGCCCATGAGGAGGAGGCCTGGCTACCTCCCGGGCCCTAGGCCCATGGGTTCCAGGGGTTCCCAAACCCCACCCCCAACACGGCTGGAATCCTCAGAGGCTCCCCACAGCCTCTCCCTCCCACAGTGACATCGCTCTCGCTGGACTCCCCACCAGAACGTTTTCCCTGTTCCTCCAGCTGACCTGGCCAATAGGCCTGCTCTCAGGTGTGCTCCCAGTCCCAGTAGCCAGCCTTGAGCCCAGGTCTCCTCTCCACTCCTGGAATTCCTCCAACAGCAGGCAGGAGGCAGTGTAGAGGGCCATCAGGACCAAGGAAGAGTACATGCCCAGAAAGCAGGCTAGCTGGAGGAAGCGGCCCTCTCCCCAAGGTTCCCAGGCCCACTCCTCCTACCTCTGCACCGGCAAGCACCCAGCTATTATCTGAGTCTGGGCAGGAGGCCATAGCTGCTGAGGTCCCTGAGGCCGCTGTGTCTGCCACCTCCGAAGAAAGGCTCTCGTAAGGACCGTAAGGACCGCAGTTCCTTCAGGGGAGGACAGTCTTGGTTGGGTTCCAAAGGTCAAGGGCTGGTCAGCAGCCCCCTGAGCCCAGGCTGGTTCCAGGCCTTCTCATCCTGATGCCTCAGCTCTTCAGAGCAGTATTTACCTTGCAAAGCAGCACCTGCCAACAGCCACAGGGAAGCTGCCTCTTCCAGGGAGCCACGGGCAGTGGAAAACTGAACAGACCTTGAAAGGTCAAAGGCACAGAGGGCTGGAAAGGCCCTGGGCTACATCCAGTCCAACACCCTGACGTTATGGGAGAGGAAAAAGCCCAGGAAGGCTGACTGACTTGACCTTCCAAAGATCAGCAGCTAAGAGTGAGGAAAACAAAATGCTCAGGCCCCCTTGGCAACTCCCAGGCAGCTCCCAAATCGCCACCTGTTCCCTCAGGGCCTGGACAGAGGCAGCTGTGGCAGCTGCCCTCAGCCTGCCCACCACCCACCCTCTGTGTGGCCTGGCTCGCCGTGACTGATCCAGCAGTGAAAGCCCCTGCAATGACTCTCAGGTACAGCCAGGCCAAGTGTGGCTGGCTCAGACCAGACCCCCACGGAAGCACCTTGGCCAAGCCTCGTCACTCTCTCCATCCTAAATTGTTTCCGTTCTCAGTAATCTGCAGAGTTTGGTCTTAGGGAACTTGAAGGCAACCGGGAAAAGGGATTTATGGCAACTATCACGTGTGAATCACTTCATAGTTTGCAAAGAACTGACAAAAATAAGGACCCTGGTGCTACCTGTTACTGACTAACTCTGTGTTGGCAGGAAGGGGGCATGAAGCAAGGTGAAAAGACAGGAAGCCCCTCCTTCAGCAAAGGCTGGGGCGCCGGGTCAGAAGCAGGCACAAGGGTGGAGTGACACACAAGCTGACCCCGAGTCCGGGACCTGGACCCTTCAGAGGAGCACAAACGAAGGCCTCCCGAGGACAGGAGAGAGCAAGCAGAAGGTGACTCAGTAGGGAATGAAGTCCTACCCTGGAAACAGCCGCCAGCCCCACTGTCTGAGCTGGCTTGGGGCCCGTGTTGTGCCCGGGGAACCTCCACTGGCTCTCGCCAGCCACAAGCCAAGCCCAGGACAGATGACCAACACCTGCCAGTCCCACCCCTATGCTCATGCCTCCCAGACACAAAGACCCAGGGATGGGCAGTGCCTGTCTCCACACCAGGACCAATGGGACCCCCGAAGAGAGCACTGCTCTGCCTCTGGTCTTGCCCCCCACCCCACCCTGCTGTCGTCTTCCCCTTCTCAGCAGTGTTAACAGGTAGTGCCAGGAAGGAAGTGGCAGCAGCTTGGGCTGGAGTCCCTGTTTATCCCTCGCTGTGTACAGCCGGCTCGGGTCCTTCAGAACCAGGTACCATGGCAACCAGGGTGATGTCAGACAGACCCACCGTCTCCAAGGAAACCAGCAATGGTATTTGGGTCACCAAGACAAACACTTCTGAAACCCAAACAAGGGACAGTCTGGAACCTCTGCACTCAGTGCCCCAAGTCCTGAGACTTTTCTCTTGGCTGTCTTTAAGATTCCAAAATATACCCCAGTTCTCCCGAGCCAGCATCTCACTGCCTTATTAGGAAGTTCGTTCTGCTGTCTCATCTCCCTGCATCCCCGCTGTTTTGAGAGCTTTTTCTTCTCATCTATGTCTCGGAAGAAAACCTACTGCCTCCCCACTATTCCCTTCCTTTCCATTCAGAAGGATTCAACAAAAATACCCTGCCATCAAGACGTCTGCTATTTCTAACAGACGGCTAAAGGGGGAGCTCTCCCACTCTGTACAAAGCGAGGAAGTCTCACCTCTAACCATTTTCAACCCTTCTAACAACTGCTGCCCCAAACTCCAAGGCGAAGGACGTAGGGCCAAAAGAACTCGCCCGGAGGACCCAGAGCAAGTTCATGCCTGGCAACTGCCCGCCCCACCTCCCCCAGCCTAGGTCCTTTGAAAAGCCGCTGTGTGGACCCCGGGTGACAGCCGTGCCTCCCGGAGCTGCCCTGCCCTACAGGAACCCCTTCTCGCAGGGGCGCGGTGGGCCCCTTCCCAGCCAGGGCATTACCTGACCTGAGCCAGCTCCCCCTTCCGTCTTCGGCTTAACTTGTTGCTGCCTTCCCTGGTTTCCAGCCCAAGAAGTGTGTGACGTCACTGAAGTCTGGCCAGTAAAAAGTCGAGTTCCCCCGAGGGGGAGGAAACTTTTGGCCAATAAGGGCTAGAATTGAGAGCCGGGAGGGAAGAGAGGGGAGATCTACGCAGCATCTAAACCCGGGTTTGCTTGCTGGTGGGCAGCTGGTGTCCTGGCAAATCGGACTCTGAGTGAGCTCGCCCCCTTCCGTCCTCCAGAGCTTCTGGAGGGGAGGCCTGCACTGAAAGGCGAAGGGTGGTGTCTCCCAAAACAAGGACGGGGCCCCTTGGTCGCGGGACAGACAGCTGCAGGACGGGGGAGGGGAGGTGCGGCGGCCCTGGCGCTGGGAGTCCGCTCCGGCCACGCCCGCTCTGTCCAGCGCGGGCCGCTCGGGGCTGCCGCTGCCCCTCCAGCAGGGCGACGGGGGAGGCCAGGGAAGCTCCCCGTAGTGCAACCTGCTGGACTGGAGACTGGGCCTCCCTCACTCTCGGGGCCACACTTGACCCCAGAAGACGGCCAGGTGGGAGGGGGCACCAAACCCAGAAGAGCTCAGGCGCCGGAATCCCAGAGGCCTGAGCCAACTCTGCCTGGCTCCAGGCCTGGTCAGGGACTGTGCTCAGAAAGGAAACTCGGTTTCTCACAGCTGGCACAGAGGAGGGTGGGAAACAGCAACTTAAAGCGGTACCAGCTCCGAGGGCTGAATCACCCCCACCGCAGCTTCCAGGGACCCCGGGGAGAAGAGAGCTCTTCCAGCCTCTGTGCAGATAAACAGCAAGGACTCCACGTGTGGATTTTCAAGTCATTTTATTAATCCAACCGTACAAAAGACCCCACCACTTCTCTGCCACCCACTTTCTTCCAAAACGTAGTGGAGAGGGCAAGAGGGGGCAGATAGGACAGACACTCCCCAGGAGCATTTTACAGACTGTGGAGGGGGCCACAACACAAATGTAGCAACTGGTAAAACGGGGCAAATAGAAGCACAAACACGACACAGAGCTGAGCCCCACCTAGGCTGTTCTGGTGTGGGGGAGGCCAGGAGAGCCCAGAGGCCACTGCTTCCTCCTCACAGCCTGAAGCCGCTGGCTCTGCGCGGGAACTGATTAGTGGGGGATCGGGAGCCCCGGAGGGTGGCGTCGGGGGACACTCAGGGCAGAGGGCCACACCCAGGCCTGCTTCCCCACCCCTATGAGGAATGTGCACAGGAGCTGTGAGGAGAGGCTCTGAGCAGGCCCGAGGCCCATCACTGGCAGGCAGTGCTTTAAAAATAAAAACGAATCAAGCCCAGCGCAGCAGGACTTCGGCTGAGAGGAATGAGAAATGCTAGATCACCAAGCTGGAGATGATGCTAAAGGACAGCAAGGAAAGAAGCAAAAAAGCTTGAGGCTTTTCTACCTTTCGGTACCATGGCATTGAGGGTCCTGCTACCTCCTCCTTACTCCAGGCTGCAACAGGGTTTCACTTGGACTCTTTATCTGGAGGAAATGTGGTATGAGGGCTCTGTGGCCTTCTAAGCTTCCCTTCAGCGAAGCCAGGGAGGCGGGAACAAGGGTGCCAGGAGCTGAAGAGCAGAGCGGAGTATAATGTGCAACAGATGGGCGAGGGGAGGGCTGTACCGCCAGAGTCCAGGCCTCCGGGACAACTTCAAATATTCTGCGGTGCCACACCACACATCCCAATTTTTGGCCAAAAAAAAAAAAGGTCACTAGGAGAAAAAAAACAGGAAGCTGAAAAAGGACCGGTGACTTTGGTATGAGGAAGATATGTATTGACAGCATCTCTCCCCAAGTCACCAAGAAAACCACCGCAGCCAGGAACTCCTGCTTCTTCTCGCTATTTGGTGCTCTGAGGAGGAGGAATTGGATAGGAGTGGGAGAGGTAAAGGGGAGGGCAGAAAAGGGAAGAAATCCCAATTATTCCCCAAAGCTGTCTCCAAGCCCACAAAAGGGCCCTGGTAGGAATGGGAAGAGATCAAACTCCCCTACCCAAGAAACTCTGAACCCCTGGCTCCAAAACCTGAGGCTGGAGCTGTGGGGTAGATGGGGATGTCAGGCACTGGTGTCAGGGATCTGTCATCTGCAGATAGGACACCTGTGCCCTCCGGAACGTCCTCCATCTTCGTTCCTCCTGCAGCCACATCCCTAGGCCTCCAGAGATAGCCACCATAACACGGCTCTGCTCAGCAGGGCTTTAGTTTCCTGAATCTATAGATCTCAGTGCAGAAGTTTCCAGAAGTAAGCGATCTGGGCTCTTCTGCCCACCCACCTCGGTTCCTCTTCTGCCCTAGAACCATCAGGTTTCTGCTCCGTGAGGATGGGAAGCCAGTGGAAACAAGAACGAAGAGCCAGAAAACACCCTGGGAGAGCAGGAGGGACACACACACTGCCCTGGGGTTTCTCGCCAGTGTCACCCATCATTAGCAGCCACCAGCTGGCCCATGCCCTCGCGGATGTAGACAGACTGTATCTCCTTGGTCTTGAGGCACAGGTCGCAGGCCCACACGGCAGAGGCCTCCGTGGTCAGCAGCCCATAGGCGTTCTCGGTCATGCCCGTGCACTCTCGGTGGAACCACTTCTGGCAGGAGGCCTCACACAGTATGGCATCCTGGTCATCGTTCACCTCACTCCGACAGGCACCACAGGGGTACACTAGGCCTGGGGGGGGCTGGGGCCCTGAGCTCCCACCAGCCTTGCCAGTGGGTGCCAAGCTATTGGCATCTGGTGTGCCCCCACCCCGCCCACTACTGTTTGAGGGAAAACTGGGCTGATTCCCGTTAACAGCAGCAGCCGGGGAGCCTGAGTGGGGCTCCTGGGGGAAAGCAGTGGGAGCAGGGGGGTTCAAGGGCTTCCCCCCATCCTCACCACCAGGGCCAGGAAAGCCAGGGTCAGGGCCAGGGAAGGGACTTGTGTTGGGGGGCAGGCTGGGGAGCCCCTGCCCAGGTCTCTGGAGAGAGGGGCCAAAAGGAGTCCCTGGCTGGGCAAAGCGCTGGGGGAGAGAAGGGGGACCCAGGTCCCCTCTGGGAGGCTGTCCCATGGTGGGTGAGATCATGGGGCCAAACCCTCCCACTGGACCTGGGATCATCTGCCCACCAGGGGGGCTGAAGTTCTGCCCCAGAGACTGGTTGAAGGGCTGGCTGGGGAAGTTCATGTTGCCCGGGGGTGGGTAGCCAGGGCCCTGGGGGGGCAGGTTGAAAGCCGGGCCCATTGGGTTAGGAGGGAATGGGGGAGGCTGTCGACGAAGTGGCTGGGGGCCCCCTCCACCCCCAGCGCCATAGCCTGGGGGCACCTGGCCTGCCATGCCCCCTTGTACACGGAAGCCTCCAAAGGGCACAGGGCTGCCAAGGAACGGAGGGGCCGCACCCCCCACCTTAGGGGCTCCGAAGTCATCCTCAAAGGGGTTGGATGCCACCAGGTGATCCACCATGGGAGTCGGGGGAGGTGCAAACTCTGTCAGATGTGAGTATGCAGGGCCCTAGTGCAGAAGGAGGAGGAAGAGGGGTCACCAAGGGAGACAGAGCTCCCCAGGAGGGCACCACAAACACAATACAGACTGGGGGCTGCTGCCCACCAGCTCAGATCTCAGATCCAGAAGGCCTTGAAATGCAACAGAGAAACGGGGAGGGGAGAAGAGTCAACACAGTACAAAATCTGTGTTTCGAAAACCAGATAAAACCACACTGAAATACCAGTTCTAACCCTGAAGCAGGTTTTTCTTCTTCTTTTGGTGCAGTACTGGCCACTGAACCCAGGGAGTGCTGATCCATACCTCCAGCCTTTTTCTAATTTTTATTTTGAGACACAACATCAGTAAGTTGTCCATGCTGCAATCCTCCTGCCTCAGCCTCCCAGAGTACTGGGATTACAGCTGTGCACCACAGACCCAGGTAGCTCATTTAACTTTTTAAAGCCTCAGATTTCTCACCTGTAAAATAGGGCCAACGAACGCCTCTTAAACTCTTGAAGGGACCTTAGCACGCAATCTTGGCCCTCAGAAAAGGCTCAGTCGTTGCCAAGTGTTTATCATTATGAGGGAACCAGGTCAGGAAACATGAGGGGAAGACTGTATCCTGCCTAATAAGACCTTTAGTCTCATCATCTCTTGAAGGATCAAAAGATTCCTCCCGTAAGCTCATCAAAAGTTTGAGAAAAAGGACCAGAAACAGGAGTGACCACTTCCTCCGCTCCCCGCACCCGATGGAAGACACAAAGCAGAAGAGCGGCCCGGAGCGCCTAGGGGCTGCTAAGAATCACCCCCACCGCGGAGCCGCAGTCACCTGAGTATTGGACTTCCTTCGCTTCTTTTCTGGGCTCTTCATTTGCAGACCTGGAAGAGCAGCAAAACGCAAATGCGGGCATGTTTCCCTAAGGTTTCTCCAACCGCCTTTCTCCCAGGAATTACTTCAACTGCAGTGCATACTTGCTTATTTTACAAAAAACGGTACTAGCAAGGAGAGTTACGTTACGTGAAAAATGAGCCGTACGACCACACGCTCAACTCCGTCTTCCTTGAAATGACAGAGCCCTCTCTTGACACCCTCAGCGTGTGAGGGACTGCTTAATCCCACGTGGGTGCAAACCCACCGGTCGATCCATGACACCCTTCCGCACCCCGCAGGGCTACCTCCCTCACCCTGGGCCCAGGGACCTCCCCACCCGCCGAGCCGGCTCCGAGGTTCCGAGCCGCGGGCTTCCCGGCCCCCGCCTCCCCGCGCTCTCACCGGCCTTGCCCTGCTTCCTCCCGGTGCTGGGCGGCGCAGGGGGCGGTGCGGGGCCGCCACCTCCCTCCAGCTTGTCCGGTGGGGGCGGCGCCGAGGCGGCCATGGAGCGGAGGGTCCGGCTCAGCGGCGGCGGCGGATGGAGGCGGCCTCAGGCCGCACCATCGCCCGGGGCGGGAGTCAGGGGGGGCCACGAGCCCCCGCGCGGCAGTGAGCGCGCGGCACGGCACGGCTGCAGCGCCCACTGCGCTCGCCGGGGACGTCCCAGCCCGGCGGCGGCGGCAGCGGCAGCAACCGGAACCGGAACTCGGCTGGACCGCCACCACCGAGCGCCGCGCGGAGGGGAGGCCGGGACAGGCGACCGGCGGCGAGGGGGGGGGGGGGAGTCGGGCTGGCGGCCTCGCGCAGCGCGGACCCGGAGCCAGCGGTGCCCGCGCGTCCGCCCTGCGGCCGGGCCGTACCACCCGGGCGGGGGCCAGGGGCGGGAGCGCGCGGGCCGGGGTCCGCGGGGACCCGAGCTGCCGCCGCCGCCGACCTCCGCTGCCCAGCGAACGTGGCACAACCCGGCCGGCCCACCTCCCGCCACCCGAGGCCCGCGGCGGACAATAGGCTCGCGACCGGGGCCAAGAGGCGGAGGTAGAAGAAATACGGACTTTAATCAAGACTATTTCCCTTTGGTATATAGTGAGACCCGTGAACGCAACCAAATAAAGAAAGGCGGCGGCCGGGATGGAAACCCCTCCCCGAGGCCTGAAGAGCGCACGGGGGTGGGGGGCTGTCTGTCTGTCCGTCTGTCCAGGCCTCAGCGCCTGCGGGCCCCACACGTTCCCCTTCCGCCACTTAAGTCTCCCAGCCTGCCGTAAGAGCCCGAGTTTTCCAGACCCAGGACAGTCAACACCTGTCTCCGGTCTCTTGTAAAAAAGATAATGCTGCGGGTGGTGAGGAAATGCCAAGAGTTGTAAAAGGGCTCAGAAAAGTCAAAGAGATGATGTATAAATGTAGTTGATTATCATCACGTTGTGCTCGAAAGCCATGGAAAACAAAAATTAAGACAGTAAATCTACAGCCCTAAAAAATACGCATATAAAAACATGAATGAATGCAGTTCCAAATCTACAGATGGCATTTGGGGACTGTCTACTGCTTTAAGTCTCAATGCCTCTGTTCCGCCTCCACAAAGCCCACCAGGAAGTTAACCGTAGGGGAGACCAAAATTCTTTCACCCCACTGCCCCAGAAGAGGCAGGGCCAGCGACAGGCAGAGGGGCTGCACTTTGGCCATAGATAGAACAAGCATGCATCAAGGGAGGGGCAGGGCTTAGAAATGTATATGCAGACCCAGGAGGGCCGGCCAGGAGGCACTGAGCCAGGGCATCATCTCCCCGGCCCGCCCCGGCCAGGAGGGGGCTCTGGGGCCATCTCTGAGGGCTGCAGGTCCCCATGGATGGGGACAGCTGTCACTCCTGCCTGTTTCCCAGCCCACACCAGAGAGGGTGTGGAGCAGAGACCAGAAAGGTGTCAGCACCCCCGTCCTTGAACTCAGGGGCCTGAGAAGTCTGCATAGAATATCTTCAGACCGAGGAGATGGTCAAAGGCACGTGTTCAAACGCTTGGGGAGGGAAGTGCTGAGAGGGCTCTGGGTGCCCTAAAGGCCAGGAGTGGCCCGGAGGTGGGCCTGTCACCTCAGGACATTTCCCATTACAAGCACCCTTCTCGGGGAAGGGGCATCAGGTTGGCACAGGAGAGGCCCAGGCAAGGAGGCCACTCTGCACAGGTACACTTTGGTGAGGTCTGGGGAGAGGTGGGTTTCTTTCTACCCCAGGGCCCGACTGTCCTCTCAATTGGCCCATAGGGAACCCAGTGTCCACACCACTCCCAGCTCCTACCAAGGCCCAGCCCACAGACCGCTCCCAAAGGAGGTCCTGAGAGTTAAGGAAGAGGCTGGAAAGGGCCAGAGGGCCTCTAGGAGGGTGGCCGGGCAGATCAAAGCTTGCGCTCCACGGGCTGTTGTAGACACAGTTCGCTGCCCGCAGAGATGATGGGCAAGTGATTGTCCATGTGGTAGCTGATGAGGTGACTGACACTCTCAAAGCGGTGATCCTTTGTCCGAACCTGGGGAGGCGGAAGGAAGCAGCCAATAAATGAAGAGGACACTGAAACCTCGGTCCCGAGGTCTCGTCTTGGAGAAGACAGGGGAGGGGTGGAGACAAGGCACCAGCCCTGGCTACTGAGGCTTCTCTACAAAGGGAAGCTGTGTGCAGCTGCACGAATAAGCAGCTCAGTGAACTGAGAAAGGAGAAGGGGACCTCGGCCCAGAATTGTGAACCGGAGAGAGAAGAGCTCCTTGATTCAGAGGAGGTTGGCGTGTCTCACAGGAAGGTCACAGTGTGAATGGGAGGAGATGTGGAATGGCAGCTGAGACTGCCAAGGTTGGGACGGACGGTGGGGCAGTTCGGGTAAGAGAAAGGCACTGTCTGAGCCCAGGGTCTGGGGCACTAGGGAGGCCGCACAAGGAGACTCGGATGTCTAGCCTCTCATTAGCTGACCCTGGGCACAGTGGCTTCCTCAACTTGTCAAGAGGGGCACAAGCCAGGCCTGGGGGTACAGGCCTATCATCGCAGCACTCTGGGGGCTGAGATAGAAACATCACACATTTGAGCCCTGCCTGGCAACGCAGTGACTTAGCAAGACCCTGTCCCCAAAGCAAAAGGGGTGGAGATGTAGGCAGCTCCACACAGAGGGCCTAGGTTCGATCCCCAGCACTGGAGGGCAAAGTGAGACGAGCACCTTCTAGCTCTGCTGGGCTGAAGGTCTGGGGATCCGAGCTTGGTCAGAGTCAGGGATGTGAGGCAGAAGGGCCCCTCACCCGCTGGATGGGGACCCCAGGCACCTAGAACAGGGAAGGCCCCAGAGAGCTGCCAGCAGAGCAAAGTCTAAGGCAATGAGCAAAGGAAGAAGGATGCACAGAGGGTGCTGTACTTCCTCTCTGCCACCCCTACCCACCCCTCTGCCACACTCACCACACCCTCAGGGTCCACCAGAAGCAAGTGCTTCGGCTGCCCACTCTGCAGGCCAGTGAGCACATACTGGCCAGGCGTGGTCGTGCTCTCTCGCACCAGGAAGTCCCCGTTGAGCTGCAGCAGTGCCTCAGCCTCTCGCCGGCTCTGCTTCCCATGGAACCAGGGCTCCCCTCGGAGCTGCTCAGCCATGGACATCAACTGGGGAGGTGGAGGCACCCGAAGGGCATCTTCGAATGGCTCTGGAGATGCAGAGAGGGTTAGGAGGGACAGCTGGCCCAACAGGTACCTGGGACCCAGACCTTCCAGGAGGAAAGCCAGGAAGGAGAGGGGAGACAGGAGGAAGAGGAGAAACCAAGCAGGACGATGGGGATACGAAAAGAGATGCACTCACTCATGTCGAAGAGGTCCCGGGGCGCACTGCCATTGACAGCAGGATTGGGGGGTCCAGCCCCACCCCCTGCTTGCCGGGCCTTGTCTAGGTTCTGGACGTTGACGTAGGAGGGATCGTCAAAGAGCTCTCTGCCTGCAGAGGAAAGGGGGGCTCTGCAGTGCACCCGCCCGCCCCTGCACGCCCCATCCTGCCCACAGCTCGCACTCCGTACCTGGGCAGGGTGGTGGAGGTGGCATCTGCTTTCGGACTTCTGGGTCTCCTGCAATAGGCTGCCCTACCGGCTGCAGGGATAAAAATAGCTGAGACAGAGGCCCTGTGCCACCCCCATACTGGGCCCAGGCACCTCCAAGCTGCTTACCAGTGTGGCTCCCAGATGGCTGGGGGTCTGGGCACTGGGTGGCGTGGGCCGAGCAGCCCCCGGTGTGGCTCCTTCCCGAAGCCTCATGTCCACCACCCCCCCAAGGGGGGGCTCCTTCCCCGGGAAGTCATTATAGTACTGGTGGTCAGATGGCTCTTCCTCCTCCTCATCCCAAGCTGAGCCATCGAAGCCGGCCATCCTGAGAGACAGAGTAAGGGGTGGCTGCAAACTGCTAGTAGGAGGCTGCAGGAGAGGGCTGGAAGGGCAGCCGTGAACTGTAGGTTAGGCCTGAGGCTGGACGCTGCATGCACGCAATCATTTCATCCTCTGGAAACTCAGGCTGGTATTATTTCCTTCCCTCATTTTACAAATGAGAACGAGTCAGAGGCGAAAAGATTTGCCCAAATTGTAGCAACAAAAAGAGGATACACCCAAGCGTGGAGGGGGGCTGGTGCTTAACCTCTCGGAAACACAGCACCTACAGGCAGCACTGCTTCTCCCCTGAGGCCTGAGTGGGAGGGGCAGGGAGCTCCCAACCCAAACTCTGGGGGACCTCTAGAGGCAGAAGGCGACCAGAGGATGGAGATAGGGCCAGGAAGTGGACGGCTGGAAGTGAGGACGCAGTGAGCAGAGCCCATCTAACTGAGGGACACAGCTCTGCCACAGCACACGAGTCCCCAGGGCACTGGAACGTAGGAGTGGCCCCAGTGGGAAGCAGGGCACACAGATTATGTCCCGGAGCGCAAGTATGGGCACAGCAGACCCACTCCCCAGTCTCCTCTGGAGCCCAGGGCTGCCCCCACCCTCCCCCTGCTCACCTGTCATGGGGGGTGACCAGCTTGGGCGGGTTCCTGAGGTACTGTTTAAAGCGCAGCTCGAAGGCCTGGCCAATGGTGCTGATGACGTCCTGGGCGAGCCCTTCGGGACACTCCAGGATGTGGCAGGCTGGGGGCACAGCAGAGGCTCAGCAAGCTCTGAGGTGAGGTGGTGGGGCCGGTGCACAGGGCCTCTGCCGGCTCTGCTCAGCCAGAGTGGGGAGCGACAACCCCAGGTCCTGCTCACCTGCCTCGCGGACAGCCGGCCCACCCAGTGCTCCCCACCACGCCTCACCTCTCTGATTCACAGGGTCTTTGGCAACATAGGCGACATACTCGGCTGTGTCCTGGGGTGGACAGAGTCAGAAGCAGCCAGTCAGTTCTATCCCACAGCCCTGTCTTCCTCCTGACCCTAAGGCCCAGGCCTTTTCAGATTCCTGCAACCCTGGCACCTCCACTTTTCTACCAGCGTCTTCCCAGTCCCCGGCCCCTTAGTCTCCTGCCCGTACTTCACTTGAACTCTGTTCCCCAACTCACCGGGTCTCCGCCGGACGCAAATGAGATCGACTGCATGTGGTGGTTGGCAATGATCTGCGGATCCGGCAGGCAGCGGGGGAGGAAGGGAATGACCAGTGTCAGGCGGCCTGGGGCCCTGCTGGGTGCCTCCCTCCCGGGCCCAGAACCCCGGAGCCCTGGGCTCATGCTCTTGGAGTCCTGCCCCATGTCCTCCTAATGTCTTCCTTCTCCTACCCCGCTGTCCCCAAGTCCCCTCTCCTGTCTTTGGCATCCCAACTAGGTGTCCCTGAGCCATCCGGGCCTCTGGACCCCTCTCACCCAACCCACCTGTTTGCAGTCTGCGGCCATGAGGTTGAGGCTGCTGGTGGACACGGTGAGAGTGATTGGCATTCCGGCGAATTTCAGGTTACTCCTCCCCAGGACAGAGCTGAGAGGGCGGCTACAGGGCTAGGGAAGGGGCAGCCTCAGAGCCGGAGTGTTCCCGCACCAGGAAACCCGCCTGCCTCTTCCCTCCCCTGCCCTCCACGCCTCTTCCACCAACACCCACCCCACGCACCTTTCTCCTCCTGGTCGCCCCCTTAGCACCCGGCACGGCCTCGCACACCAGACTGATGGCTTCCCTGGGGAAAGAGGGGTACTCAGACCCACTGCCTGCTGCTGCTCAGCAGGGGGAGGGGAAGGCCAGGCCAGACTCCCAGGGCACTCCAGGCTCTTTGTCACGGTGGATTGAATTAAGGCCCTTTAATATTTGATGACACAGAGGCCGGTTTCTGGCTGATTGGGTTAGGGCCTCAGTGGGCATAGCCTCACCACTTCCCAGCTACCAAACGTCACATGCCCACCCAAGAAGCAGCAGCCTCCTACCCACCCACCCTGCTGCCTTCCTCACTCACTGAGCTGATGGGTCAGGCAGCTCAGAGCCAGAGTAGCCGCTTTCCATCCAGACTCGGACCAACTCTGGTAACCTTCTCCGAATCCTCCTGACACCCCAGCATAAGCCACCCTTAGTATCACCAAGTGCCCCACTTCCCTCTTCCCAAGGCCTCACGCTCCACCCCGTCCGTGCCCACTGACCTGGTGACCTGAGTCCGGGTGTTGAAGTCAAGGGCACGCATTGACTGCAGAACCTCCACGCAGCCCATGTACTGAGGGAGGGGTGGGGACAGCAGGTCAGCTGCGTCTCCCACCCCCAGATGCCCTAGGAGTCTTTCCTGTGCCCCCAGAGGGAAGGGAGGACCCACTGCCATGGCTGCCTCCTAAAACTCAAACAGGCAAGGAAACAGAAGGCAAGCTGGGCGGAGGGCGTGCACCTGGGAGAGTCTGGAGGCAGTGAGAGAGCGTGGGGGGATGGAGGGCACCTCTGGAGATGGGGAAGTCCAGAGAGGAGAATCAGCACTTACTAAATGCCTCTGCTGTGCCAGGCATTATGATAATTGGGGGAGGGGTCCCAAATCGAGGAAAGAGACCCAGGCAGAAATTATCCGCCTGGAAAGGAGGAGCACTAATGGGAGGAGCAGAAAAAGTAGAGGGGTTGTTGGGGAAGAGCAGGAAGAGACCCAGCAAAGCCCAGCGAGCAGAGGAACTGGAGGGGGTGTGGGAGGGAGTAGAAGGGAGGAGGATATTCACTCACCCGAACCAAGTAGGAAACCCCGGGTCCCATGACTTTGTCGTTGGGATGCAGCCAGCCCCTCGTGGGCTTATTGACAAAGCTCCCGTGGCGGGTCCACTCCTCGCCCCCCAGCTGGCCCCCTTCCACCCGAGTCCTGCGCCCGCTGCCTCCACTCAGCTTGTTCATGTCCTGGAGGAGGGGCAGGGGGCCTGAGTCCAGCACAGCTGTCCCTGTGATTCCCTCCCCATCCTCGGCTGCCCTGCCTGGCTCCCCCTTAGGCCCCAGGCGCCCCCCGGCTGGGTTGGCCAGCTTCAAGTTGCTCATCCGGGGGAAGAAGGAACACAGGGTGGTGGGGCTGTCGTCCGAGGGCAAAGGAGGCAGGATGGGCCCCAGGGAGGAGGCTGACGGAGAGGGCAGCTCCTCCGGTGGGCTGGACCCCGAAGCCCCCTCCTCCAGCGATGACAGAGACTCATTCCGAAGCGGGTTGTACTTGGGCTTGGGGGGTAGGAGATCCATGGCTGGGAGGAGGTGGGCTGCTGCCCGGCCTGGCCCGGCCCCCCTGCCACTTCTGGCAAGGGGGGCCAGGCAGGCGGCATCCCCAGCCCTTAGCCTGGCCGGACCTCTGCAGCCCAGGGGTCACAGAGGTCTCGGGGAGGGATAAGGATCAGTGGCTTCCGCTCCCCCAGGTCAGACCCAGACACGGCCCAGGCGCACCCCCGCCCAGCGCGGAGCCCTTCTGGGGCAGAGAAGAGAACAGGCTGGACCTAGAGCTGCCTGGCTCCTCCCGGGGGCGGAGATCGCAGGGGAGCGACCAATCCCAAGCACAGTGCTGACTCACAGACCCGGAGGGGCTGAGCCCCTCCACCAAGGCCCAAACCTCCAACTCCAGCAGGGGTAGAGCTGGCTGTGCCCCTTCCTCCCGCCCCACGTAAACAATCTGGGGAGCAGGAAAGCGGAGGTGGAAGGGAAGGCTGGAGCAGTAGGAAAGAAAGGAAAGAGATGAGGGAAGGTCTTGATCACTCCAAACCGGACATGGGCAGGCTACAGAGAGCAGGAAGCCAGAAGAGGCTAAGGGGGAGTGAGGGAGGAAACAGGCAGCACGGGTGGAAAGGGCGGGGATCCCAGAGCTCAGCATTTCCCTTCCTTCCTGCCACTCGGAATTCCTCCATCCTCCACCCCAGGCAGCCCTCCCCACAACTGCCACGTATGGTGTGGTGGTGGCCTCAGGGAGCCTGGGCCATTAGCATCCTGTGCTACAACAGCTGTGAACTGGAGTGAGGGGAAATGGGAAAGGGAAGAAAATGGTCCCAGTGGATACAGAGCAGGGCCAAGAGGAAAAGAAGAGCTGGTGAAGTACGGGGAGCAAAGTCTAACTTAAGTAGTGCAACAGGGAGCTACAGGCAAGACTGGAGCAAGAGGGTCAAGCGTCCTTCTCTATGGGTGGCACCTACCAACCCAGGAGTTACAGCCCCAGGTCAGGCACTGTACCCTCCCCACAACCCTACTTACTAAAGCAAGAAGCTACTGGTGAGAAAGAGCACCAGGCATGGTTCATGCCTCAATCCCAGCACTCTAGAAGGCTAAGGCTGGAAAATCATTTGCGCTCAGAAGGATCACGGTGAAAATTTGAGGTCAGCCTGGGCTACACAGTGAGTTCAAGGCCACCCTGAGCTACACAGAAGAGCCTGTCTCAAAAAACAAGAGAGAGGTCACAAGTGAAGTCTGGGTCAATAAGGACAAAAGAAAGGGGTGGCGGAAGATGGGTTGAGCTGGACCCAAGGAATAGTCCCAAACCCATTCTGCCCACAGCTTCCTCCCACAGCTCTGCTTGAGGAGGTCATATAGGAAGTTGGAAAGTGGCAAAAATACAAGTAAAAGAAACATCTTCCCCAGGCTCACCTCAGAATTACCCTTAGATTGCTTCAGAGGACTAAAACAATCTATGTTACAGTGATTAACAATAGTAACATTTGGGCTGGGGATTTAGCTCAGTGGCACTGCCTACCTCACAAGCACAAGGTCCTGAGTTCGAACCAGAAAAAAAAATAGTAACGCTTAAAATGTGATAAATACCTTGCCTACTTCACCTCCCCTTAGTCTTCATCCCAGCACAGCTTTGTCAGTGCAGCCCACACTTGAGAAAGAATTCTATTGGAACCGTGTTCGATCCCCGGTACCAAAAAAAAAAAAATTCTATTTACCCCACTGGCTAAGGCCTCAGCTGTCGGCATAAAGCCTCACGCTCCCAACACACACAAAAACATACCACAATGCCCACACCTTTAGAAGTGGCACTGTGGGTGCCTGCAGTGTCCAGAGGCAGGAAATGGCCACAGGTGTGGGCATGTGGAAGTAAAGAAGTCTGACTTTACATCTGCAGAGGGAAAAAGGAGTTTCCTACTAGAAGACCAGGTAATGGGTGGGGGGAGCCACGTGTAGTTTCTCAGCACTGCAGGGAGGCCGAAAGAGGGGCGGGAAGTAGCAGGAAATGGCGAAATCTTCAGGAATGTTTCCAGCAAGGAAGGCTGGGCAAACGGGGCCAGAAGGAACGCCCAGCGGGGAGCTCGGGCGAAGGGCAAAGGGAAGAGCCAGAGAAAATGGGAGGAGGGGCTGAGGAATTCCTTAAAAAAACAAAAAGGACCCTGAACCCTACTCTTCGCTCCAAAGCACCGTTTTCTGGCGGGAGAAAAGTTTCGCTCCTGTCCACAAGGCATACAAGTCCTGTCTAGCCACGGACAGGTTCGACCCACAGGTGTTCCTGGGGTGGGGTCGGTGCTAGGACGGGAAAGTGGGAGTGAGGCCGGGAATCTCTGAGCAAGTCTCTCTCCCACTCTCGTGCTGAACCCCTTCAAGTAGATCCACCCTTGGAAGAGGATGAGAGAAAAAACGGCTGCTTCCAAGCTGTGCTCACAGCCAGAGATGGGAGCGTGAACTTCCCACCTGGCGGTGCTTGAGAATTCAGAAGAACTGAGCCCAAGGCCCAGAGAGAAAGGGCAGGAAAATGTACAAAGGTGAGACGTCTGCGAATGAGCACAAGACTCCTGAGGTGACGGCCTGGGTCCCGTCGGGATACACTAATCTCCTAAGGGGGCGTGGCCCCTAGAACGCCTGCAGCGGACGAGACCCGGCTTCTGGACAATCGGACCTGGATTACGGAAGGGGCGGGGCCCGGGAAGGCGGAGCCCCTAGGGAGGCGTGGGCTCAACGAAGCCGAGTCGTTCTTTGAGTAGCAACGCTAGGCAGTTTAGGAAGCTATGCTTTTGACAGACAAGAGTTAGCGGAGAATCACTGCGCGGAGGCGCAGTTCCGGAGAACTGGAAGGACTAAGGAAGGCTTTACTGTAGTCGGGCTTGGAAGCGTGTCTGGGAGTGGGACTTCCAGGAAAGCCAGGCAACAGGGCGGGGTCGAGACAATAAAAGACAAGTCGGGGCTCGGGGAGACCCCTGAAGTTGGAAGGTGGGACTTCCGGGAAGAGGGTCTCAGGGCGGGGCTTATCGATGAAGACCGGAAGTGGGGTCCCGAGAGAGGGGTTCCGGGGTGGAGGAGCGGGTCGCCTAAAGAGAAAAAAAGCCAAAACTCACCAGGGCCTCATGGAGTCTCCGCACCGCACGCGGGCCGATCTGGTCCCGGATCACGCCACCGCTTGCTTAAGTCGCCGTCCCAACTTTCTCCCTGGGCCCGGCCTCCCCGAAGAAACTTTATTACACCCACTTCCGGCCTCACTAACCCCTGACCCTCTACCTCACCATCCCTCCTTTACCCCGCCCACTTTCCCAAACCAGCCAGTGGTAGCGCGAGGACGCGCACAGGACCAGTAATAGCCAATAAGAGACCTATTTTTGACGCAGGGTGGTTCTTGAGAAATGTAAGAACTACAATCCAATAAAGACTCGGGAAGAAGCAAATGTGAGCCAATCGGAAGCTTCAAAATGGAGTTGTCCCGCCTTTCGCCAAAGGAGCCAATAGGAAGTGCGGGCGGTGTGTTTGAAAGCGAGGCCAAAGAGGGTGGGAGCGCGTGCTGCTGGGAGTTGTTTGGAGGCTGGCGGCGCGGGGCTGAAGGTCTGCAGGCAGAGCGAACATGTCGCATAAACAGATTTATTATTCGGACAAATACGACGACGAGGAGTTTGAATACAGGTTAGTGCCGGCGCGGGGTCCATAGCGAGGTCGTGAGCCTTAACTAGAGGCCACAGAGGAGTTAGTAACCGGGACTGAGGGGACAGAATCGGCGCAGGCGCGAGAGGTGAACGCGAAGGGTGCGAGTGGTTGAAAGTGTAAAGCGCATGCGCGAGGGTGGGCGGTGATTCCCAAAACAATGAAGTGGAATTTGAAGTCGGGCCTAGGTTGACGGAGGTGTGAAGTGCTGTACTGACCGCCTCCATCCTCATTCTCACAACTCTGTTGAACAAGTTAAAGTTAGACTTGCTTTCTGGGGTCTGCCGGTATCACGTTATCTACTGGGAGAGGTAGAGAATGCAGAGCTGAAACTCACTCTCCTCGGTGCCAGGGATGTTCTGAGAGCGTGTTGTTGATTCCTGGAAAGGAAAAAGGGCGTGGCTGCCTGGCTTGTTCAGGAAGGGGCTTCGGGGAACTGGAGAGGAACGAAAGGCGTCCAGGGACCCTGAGAAAGGACAGGCAGGACAGGCCCAGTCGCTGCCCGTCGAATACTGGGACAATCATGGGGTGCTGATAGGCTCCAGGTGCTCTGCTGTTCAGATGTAATCTGTGAGCACCGACCGCCGGGAGAAGGCCGGCCAGAGGGGCCTAGGGCGGCTTCTGCGGGGGCGGGCGCGGGGGGAGCGACGCCTGGGCCGGCCGAGGAGGGAAGGGCGACCCTGGGCAGCATCTGCCAGCAGTGGTGAGGAAAACCCTTGCGCGGGATGCAGCATTTGGGTTTGTTCCATTCTAAGTCTTTAATAACTAGAGTGGAAGCTGAGGGAAAAAGGGTTCCGCAGATGTCTTTACAGGAGCCTGTAGTGTAATGCTTAAGACAACTTCCTAATTTGTGTGTCTCCTCTACTGGGGAACATAAAATGGAGATTTGCTTTTCTGTGTCTCTTCTCCCAACCTAGTTCAGACCTTTGGACACTCTGGCTAACCTGACGTATGTTGACAAACACATATCCTTTTTGCCAGTGTAACTGAATAACTTCCTTACGCTCAGCTTTTCCTCTACATCCGAACTACTGCCTAAAACTATGTGCTTACAATGTGTGAACGACTAGCGTGAAATCACTAGTTTCATCCTGTAGAAAGTGTAACTCGCCAACATCATGTGGATTTAAGAGGGTCCCACCACCACCATCAGGGATCGAACTCAGGACCTTGCACTTGCCAGGCTGGCAGGACCGCTGAGCTACATCCCCAGCCCGAAGAGGGTTTTTGTTTTGTTTTTTAATGTGTTCAAGACAAATTTTGTGTCAAGGGCTTGTTATAATTAAGCTAGTTTCAGAAATTTAGACTGGAGTTATCTTTTGAGGGAGAAAACAGCTCTTGTTACCAGCACAGAAGGAGCATCTAGTACATTTTGAGCATGAGGTCTATCTGCATTAGTCTGGCTCAAGTGAGGGTAATCATTTTTTGCCATGAAGAGAGACCCTTTTGGTCAGGAGAACGTGGAATTCCCCAAGTCTCACGACACATCCCTTCAGAGTTAGGAAAGTGGGATTCAGGTGGACATTTACGTTGTCATCCCTTACAGTGACTCTTCCACACAGCACTCCATAACAAGCCCTTCTGGTCCACAAAATATCTTCTTTCTTTACTAATCCATTTAAAATTCACCTCTAGCTGTTAATACTCGCTGTGCTTCTAGAGGCTCCCGTTGTATTGTGGGTAATCCACAGAATTCTGTGAGGCCCGTGGGGCAGAGGAAAAGCATCTACAGTGCCTGGGACTTGGGCACTCACGGTGGAATTACTCATTAACTTGTACTTTTTAATATACTTTTGCAAGAATTTACATAATTTGGGTTGTATTTCCAGCTGCCTGTATGCATAGTAAGATTGTATATTCCCCCTGACATCAGAAATGAGTTTCCATCCCCCAAAAGTGTAACCTTGCTTGTCTTTGTGCACGGGGACTCGTTTACAGATGGTACCCAGTACTGACAGAAACACCGCCCACCTTCCATGTTCTGTTACAGGCATGTCATGTTGCCCAAGGATATAGCCAAGCTGGTCCCTAAAACCCACTTGATGTCTGAATCTGAATGGAGGAATCTTGGTGTGCAGCAGAGTCAGGGATGGGTCCATTATATGATCCACGAACCAGGTCAGTGTAATGGCTAAGAGCAACCTTATACCGACAGCACTGCCACACTGAGGGAATGAAGAAATGAGAGTACAGAACCCAAAACAATAGGCACAGGGGGAGATGATTTTCTGGGTTCTCCCCCATACAGTAGCTATCTAAACAGACTCCAGGGACCAAAAACTAAAGTAAAATGTTTTGGAAGTGCAGGGACAACCTGTTACTGAAAAACCTCTTTTAATCTTCAGTTTAGCCAGAGAGTACTCTTTTCGTGATACTGATTATAGCCCCAGCTTTTTTTGCCATCAGAAAGCAAATTCTTGGATGTGTTCCAAATAAGCAAAGGAAATTACATTTCCTGATAAGACACCAGGCACCCTTCCCAGTGCTGTGCCAACATAACAGAACTGATACTAACAGTTCTGTACTTGGCAGACAGGCCAGACTTCCGGTCTGCTTCAAGGCCGCATGCTTACGTCCTCATTTGGTTATAAAGATCTGAGTGAGTGCTAGCGGGGCGGCGCGGTGGGAGGCGCTGTAGGCTGTCCTAGAGGGAGGTGAGCTTGGCTCTTACATTTCCCCCCATCTTTCAGAACCTCACATCTTGCTCTTCCGACGGCCACTACCCAAGAAGCCAAACAAATGAACCTGGCGAGCCACCTTTCAGCCTCAAGCTTACACAGCTGTCTTTCCTGCTAACATCTCTCTGATAATCCGATTGTGTTGCCTTCTCGCTCCTCACTTTGATATTTAAAGGATGTTCAATACACTGTTCGAATGTGCTGGCGACTGCCTTCTCGAATACAGCCACCACCACCATAGCCTGCCACGCGAGTCCCTGTGGGCGCAGCCTCAGCTCAGTGTGCCCCAGAGCCACGGTGCTGTTTCCACAGGACATTCCCAACAGGCAGAAGCATCTGAGACGCAGACACAGACCGGGGCTTTTGGGGGATTGCATAAACTTGCTGCTTTGTGTTTTCCTGCTGGGTACTGCGGATGGTGATTTACGGATTTGTGTTTCAGTGTATTAGAAACTTTCCATTTTATTTGAGAAATCTGTTCAACGTTAAAGCCTTGATTAAAGAAGTTTTTATAATCTGATTCTGTGATTGCAAGGATTTTTTTTTCCCCTACTTGCAAGTTGACCATCACATTCGGGATTGTGGTTCTAATAATATGCCCTTTGGTCTGATAGTGAAACTCAACTATTTGGGACAATGAAGTTTATTTGAATATTCAGGGTAACTAGTGATTTTTGGTTTTTTTTTTGTTTTGTTTTGCTTTTTGATAGTGGAGATTGAACCCAGGGCTTCACACTGAGTTACATCCCAGCCCTTAAATTTTTTTTTAGTACCAGGGATTGAACTCGGGACCTTCCGCTTTCGAGGTGGGCACCAGAACCACTGAGCTAAATCCCTGGCCCCTTAATTTTTTTTTTTAACCGGGCATGGTGGTATGTGCCTGTAATCCCAGCATTCCGGAGGCTGAGGCAGAAGGCGTACTGCAAGTTTGAAGCTACCTTGGACTACATAGCAAGACCCTGTCTCAAAAAACAACAAAATAAATTTTTTTAAAGTTTGAGGCATCTCACTAAACTGCTGAATTATCCAGGCTGAGCTCCAACTTCTGCTGCCCCTGCCTCGGCCTCGAGGAGTGTAGGGATTATAGATGGGCACCACCGTGCCCAGGTCTGGTTTTTAACCTACTTTAAACAGACTTGCTGTCTAACACCTGCTGAAATATATTGCACTCTGACGATACTCAAGGTCAGGGTTCCGGAAGGACAGCTTCGTCTTACGAACAAATGAACTGTTTCCCACAGTGAGGATGGTGCCAGTATCTGAAGGCAACAAGGGCTCCAGAGGGCGCTCCTGTGGATTAGGGCCACCAGGCCTACAGCCTGCTCACTGCCTACTGGGAGGGGGTTGGTCTCAGTGGCTCCAAATGTGGCTGAGTGCTGGAAGCAACTGGGCAGCTTTGCAAGTACTGGGACCCACGACTCATTCCTAGAGACTGCCTTAGTGGGGAGGGAACATGGACTAGGTGTAGTGATTTGAAGCAGTCCTGTGCAGCTAGGTGCAGCACTAAGTTCTGAGAACACAGCTGTAAATCAGGCATGGTGGGACATGCCCATCATCCCAGCAGAGGCAGAAGGATCTCCGCCAGCACAGCAGGACTGTGGGGGGGGGGGGGTAGAGCCTTAAGAGGATCTACTTAAAAGTAGACAAGGGGGTGGGCCGGGGATTTAGCTCAGTGGTTCCACTGGCTGCCTCCAAAGCACAAGGACCCGAGTTTGATCCCTGGTACCAAAAAAAAAAAAGTAGACTAGGGGTGCCAGGTGTGCAGCTCAGTGGCACTGCACCTGCCTGGCAAGTGCAAGGTCCTGAGTTCAATCTCCAGTACCAGAAAAAAAAAGTAAACTGTAGATCCTTAACATTTCACCAAATAATAGCTTACTCTCTAAAGCTGTTACAAAGGGAGATTAATCTCCTTTTCCTTGTCTCCTACCCACTTACTTCTAGAAGAGTCCTTTGGGTGTCATCCTTGGGTGAGGCATCAACATCACCTGGATACTCAGAAATTGCAGATTCCTGGGCCAGGGATGTAGCTCAGTGGCACCGCACCTGCCTGGCAAGTGCAAGGTCCTGAGTTCGATTCCTGGTACCAGAAAGAAAAAAAAGTACAGATGCCTATGCTCCACCCTCAGACCTGTTGTATTATAAACTGAGGGGTGGACCCAGCCATGGCTATGTGTTATAACAAGCTGTCCAAGGGGTTGCACTGCACCCCAAACGGAAAATGACTGGTAAAGAGTTGGAGCAGAGTTGATGCTTTGAGAGGGACCCAAATGTAATCTTTATTAAATCAAAGATGTTGGATTGGGCCGGGGATTTAGCTCAGTGGTTTCGCCGCCTGCTGCACAAACACAAGGACGGGAGTTCGATCCCCGGTACCAAAAAAAAAACAAACAAAAAAAATCAAAACAAAGATGTTGGATCATGTGGCTTACTTTGTTAGACAAGTGGATTTCTCTGGTGTGTTTTTGTTTTAGCACAAATGCTTTTAGAGCTGATGGGTGGGGTGGGTGTATTTTCCCCCCGGGACTAGGGATGACACCCAGGGTCCGCCCTCACCCTGAGCTACATGCTCAGCCATTTTTTTTGACAGGATCTCCTAAATTATCCATGCTGGGTTTGAATTTGGGTTCCTCCTGCTTCAGCCTCTCAAGAGTGCTGGAATTACGGGCATGTGCCACCACATCAAGCTACAGCTGATGCTTTTTATGTTTGATGGTTGTGTGGCATGCCTTCATTTTTCTGAGCGTGATGTTTCTCTCACAAGATTTTATAGAGCAAGATGAGGCCAGGTGTGATTCAGCATTCCTTCAGACCTTACTACTCAAAATGTAGCCCATAAATCAGCCTCAGATGGAACAGGATAAATGTGAATCTCAGGCCTCACCCAAACCTACTGAATCATAATCTGCATATTAAAAAGATCCCCCAGCCAGTAAATTGCTGAGTGCAGTGGTGGTGATGTAAACCTGTAATCCCAGCACTCCAGAGGAAAGGCAGGAGGAGCCATAGTTAGAGGCCAGTGTAAACTACAAGGCAAGATCCTGTCTCAAAGCAAACACACACAAAAAAGACCATGAAGGATTAGTATAAAAATTAAAGTTAAGGGGCTGGGAAAAAAAATTTTAAAGTTCAGGGGCTGGGGATTTAGCTCAGTGGTCCCTCTGCCTGCCTCGCAAGCACAAGGTCCCAAGTTTGATCCCCAGTACCAAAAAAAAAAAAAATTAAAGTTCAGGAGAAAAAAAAAAGCCCCTTAAAAAAAACTTAAAGTTCAGCTGGACAAGGTGGCATATGGTATAATCCTAAAACTTGGGAGGCTGAGTCAGGACGATCACCTCGAATTTCAGGCCAGCCTGGACTACATAGTGGGACTCTGCCTCAAAATAACAACAAAATTAAAATGCAACAAACACTTTTTTCTACCCAGCACACACACACCCCCAAGGCACTTTTAGACAAAAGACAATTGAAATGAGAGAAATCCAAAGCCAGCACACAAGACACACTGTACTTGATGTTTCTCCCTACAAGACCAGTAATTGAGAGAGGCCGTGTTTGAATTAAGCATCTGGAGCAAGGTGGTTCAAGGGAGGTGGGGGTTTTGGTTCTTCGTGTGGTACTCAGGACTGACCCCAGGGGACTTCATACTGTGCTACATCCCCAACCCTTTTTTTTTTTTTTGGAGATGGTCTCACCAAGTTTAGGCTGACTTTGAACTCACTATATAGCCCAGGCTGGCCTAGAGCTCACAGAGATCCTCCTGCCTTACCCTCTCAGTGCTGGGATTACAGGAACACACCATCATGCCTGGCCCCAACCCTTTTAAAAAATATTTTTAAAATTTATTTATTGACAGTGTCTAGTTAAATGGCCCAGACTGTGATCCTCCTGCCTCAGCTTCCCAGAGTGCTGGGATCACAAGTGTTTACCACCACGCCCAGCTAAAGGAAGGTTTTTGTGTTTGTTAACTTTATCGCCTCAAAAAGGTTTAAGTGGGCCAGGGATTTAGCTCAGTGGTTCCACCGCCTGCATTGCAAGCGCAAGGTCCCGAGTTCGATCCCTGATACAAAAAAAAAAAAAAAATGTTTAAGTAATATGAGCCTTTCCATTTATACTAGAGAGAAAAGAAGTTCCCACGCATTAACTGCTCGCCTATTCCAAGAAACTCCACCCCACAGACTATGCGGATTAACATTCTCTGTCTCCCTCCAACTGCCTTCTATAAACAAAATCCTAGCCCGGCGCTGTGGTGACCCTGTATCCCCAGCTACTGGGGAGGGAGGGAGGGTTTAGCAAAGGGAACGCTTAAGGCCAGGACCAATCTAAGCAGCATAGTAAGCGAGACCCCCCACATCGAAAAATAACTAGGGCTGGTAAAGGAAGGAAGGGGCAAGAAAAAAGTGAACTTGTAAAATACAAGCAGGGCTGGCATCGTAGCTCAGCGGTAGAGCACTTGCCCAGCATGCGCGAGGTCCTGGGTTCAGTACCAGCTCCTGACTCCTTACCCTAAAATGTAGTCATAGTTGATAAAAAGAGCATATGCCTACAAGAATTTTAAAAAAACAACAAACAATTTAAAAACAAGAAGCTGTTTCCACTCCTCCCCGGCCACAACCCTCTAGGCCCCGCCCCCAACACAAAGCCCGCGCCCACACTTCCGGGTGAGGGATAACCACCTGGTTGTTGCCTATAACAACGTAGCATTGCTTCCGCCTGCGGGACAAAGCCTGAGAGCGACAGTCGGCTACACCAATGGGACCTTCGGAAAGAATCTAAGCGACGGCCAAAATAACCAATCAATATGAGGATTGTGCGAGTAAGGTGGGACTTTGAGCAAGGACCCTGTCCCAGGACATGAGGAAGGAAAGGCCCGGTGAAGGGACAAATTAGGTAGGTGAGACCTTGGAAGAGTAGAAGAGGGGGTTCCGGGCTAGAAGGGATGCAGGGGAAGGCGACTGGGTTCTGGTCGGATGAGGAGGGCGCAGCGCATTTAAAGGGGCCAAGCCCCGGGATCAGGGGGACCCTCAAAGGTGCACGTTCCGAAGAGAAGAGACGTTTGAAGGCGCAAATGCCCCAAAGAGAGCAAGCTCTTGAGGAGGTCGGATCGGCAGATAGAAGACATTTAAAGTGGTAGGTTCTCGGGAGAGCAGGACATTTAGGGGGGCTAGAACCAAGCTTAGAAGACATTTATAAGGGACTCCGTGGTACAGCGCTTGTCTTGCGTGCGTGAGGCCGTGGGATGTATCCCTAGCACTGCCAAAAAGCAAACCGGCAAACGAAACACTCGCGAGAGTATGGATTGGGACTTGAGAAAAAGGATATTAAAGAGACGGTAATAAAGGAGTCTCTTGTCCAGGATCTGGTTGGAGAAGGCGGTCTCAAAGAGCGCGCCCTCCTGCCCTCCCCATCGGATTTCTGGTTTCTCCAGGTCCCTCGACCCTGTTCCCAGGCTGTGGCCCTCAGCGCCCCGTAGACCTGGCGGCCCACCTGTGCTTTCGGCCCCTGGCTAGGGGTTTGGGTGGCTACTGGAGGGCCCTGCAGAGGGGCAAAGGCAGGACCATGGCATCTGGGACCTCGGAACTTCCCCCGGGGCGCAGTGTGACAGCGGGCATCATCATTGTTGGAGATGAGATTCTCAAGGTGTGTGGGACACGGGGAGGCACGGTGTTCTCCTGTCCTTAGGGGCTTGCTGCACAGGAGGCTGAGAGTCCCCTGCCTGTTGCAGTAGGACCTAGAATGAGTCTAACAGATCGGGGAAAGTAACCCTCATTCTTTTGATTACCCTGTTGGAGAACCTGTAGCAACGTCCTTGCAAATTGGCAGACAGTATGGTGGGGTGGAGGAGGAATTGCACAACAATAACTGGAAGGATAGTAAGCAGAAAAGGTACAGATATTCAGAGTTCTGTGCTGAGCTGATTGTGGTGCCATGCACCTGTGATCCTAGCTACTCAGAAGGCTGAGCCAAGAGAATTGTGATTTAGAGGCCAGCCTGGGCAACATAGCAGGACCCATCTCAAAAGAAAAAGTAGTTATATCCAGCCTATTTGGAAAAGATTCAAAGCACTCGGCAGAGAGGATAAGTGGGCTAAAAGGAAAGTACTTGAAGGGAGGAATCAATCCCTTTGAATGATCAGAGGTGTTGCTGGAAGACATGGCAGGCAGCAGGTTTGTGGTAGTCATTTTGACCCCTACGTTTCAGTGCTTACTCGAGCCTGGCAGTGTGCTTACATACATCACTGATGGGATTTTACTAGTTCTCACAATCCCAGCACTGAGGAGGCTGAGCAGGAGGATCACCATGAGTTGGAGGCCAGTCTGGGATGCATAGTGAGTTCAAGGACAGCCTGAACCACATGGTGAGACCCTGTCTCAAAAAACAAATCAAAAACAATTCCATCAAATTGGTGTTTTCATTATAAATCTCATTTAATAGGTTACAAAACTGAGGCTCAGAGACTGAGAAACTTGGCCAAGATTACACACTTGGAAGTGGTAAGAGATGAGATTCCAGCCTGGTTCTCCCTTACTCTAGAATTTTTTCTTTTTTTTTTTTTTTTTTTTGAGAAAACGTCTCACTACGTAGCCCAAGCTGGCCTTGAACATGTGGAGATCTCCTGCCGAGTGCTGGGATTACAGGCATGCACCACCACACCCAGCTATAATAAATTTTTGACCACTAAGCCACTATAGAGAAATGGAAGGAGTTCAGGCTGGAAAAGAAGATGATAGGGTACATGTCACAGGCAACCTCAAATATTTGCAAAGGAATGTGAACTTTATTCTGTATACAGTTGGAAACAACAAATGGCTTTTGGGCCCAAGAGTGATGTAATCACAGTGACATATTAGGGAGGTTACTCAGCAGACAGCACGGCATGGTGGCTGGAGCCTGGGACCCGGCCAGGAGCCTGTTGCCACTGGTCCAGGTGAAAGGGGCTGATGACCGGCTTGGGAGCCGTGGGAACAGGTGAGAGCAGATGGAGAGAGATTTCCACAGCAGAGCTGACAGGATGAAAGGCCCGACTGGCTGGGGACAGCATCTGGGATGCCCTTGTCCAAAGTGACAACAGCCAGGGACATGGTGAGGCTATGCAGGGAGCACTTGGAGCCAGGGGGCCACAGCTCGGGCTGGTGAGGAAGTGGGGGTCATGCACACGGCGCTCCTGACTGACTGAACTCGTAAATGTGAGACCAGGATCGAAGTCCAGAGAAGGAGCCCAGGTGACTCCATTCAAATGACTTTCCCACCCCTGGGACCACCCAGGCTCCTTGAAGCCAGAAGGTGTCCCCAGAAAGCAGAGCACCCCATCTTCAGACTGAAGCAGCTGTCTCCCCTCTACCCCTTGTCAGCACAGCACTGACAGGCCTGTCCCCCATCCCTAGGGACACACTCAGGACACCAACACGTTCTTCCTGTGCCGGACACTGCGGTCCCTGGGCGTCCAGGTTTGCAGAGTCTCTGTCGTACCTGATGAGGTAAACACCGTTGCTGCTGAGGTGACCTCTTTCTCCCGCCAGTTCTCCCACGTCCTCACTGCAGGGGGCATCGGCCCCACGCACGATGACGTCACCTTTGAGGCGGTGGCACTGGCCTTTGGGGAGGAGCTCAAGCCACACCCTGAGCTTCAAGTGGCCATCCAAGCCCTCGAAGGGGAGGGCTGGGAGAAGCTGTCGCTGGTGCCCTCTTCTGCACGCCTCCATTACGGCACAGATCCTCACACCGGCTGTCCCTTCAGGTTCCCGCTGGTCTCCGTCCGAAATGTCTACCTCTTCCCGGGCATTCCGGAGCTGCTGCAGCGGGTGCTAGAGGGGCTCAAGGGGCTGTTCCAGAACGCGGCTGTTCAGTTCCACTCGAGGGAGCTGTACGTGGCTGCTCCAGAGGCCTCTATTGCCCCCATCCTGGCCGAGGCCCAGGCCCACTTTGGACAGAAGCTTGGTGTGGGTTCCTACCCGGACTGGGGCAGCAACTACTACCAGGTGAAGCTGACCCTGGACTGCGAGGAGGAAGGGCCCTTGGAGGAGTGCCTGGCCTACCTGACTGCCCGTCTGCCCCAGGGGTCGCTGGTTCCCTATGTGCCCAACGCTGTGGAACAGGCCAGCGAGGCTGTGTACAAACTGGCCGGATCAGGTAGGGGCCTCCTGGGGGAAGGGGAGCGAGTCCTGCCCGGAGGCGCCCCTCTGGGCCTCGTGATGTAGGACCTGTTCTGGCTTCCCACAAATCTGGAAGAGGGCAGAAGATAGCTGCTCACGCACTCATTCTCCCAGTAAATATTCTTTGAGTACTTTCCTTTTTACCAGCCCTGTACAAGTAGCTGGGGAGAATCTTAACAGGGTAAGTGTATACCCCGCTCTTTTTGACCAGTGGTTTAAAAAAAGGTGATTGTGCATAAAATGTGAGTAATGAGTCCAGCATGGTGGCGCACACCTGTAATCCCAGTACTTAAGAGGCTGAGGCAGGAGGATCACCATGAGTTCAAGGCCAACCTGAACTATGTAGTGAGATCTTGCCTCAAAAAATAAAAAACAGGGTCCGGGGATTTAGCTCAGTGGTTCCGGCACCTGCCTGGTAAGCGCAAGGTCCTGAGTTTGATCCCCAGTACTAAAATAAAATAAAATAAAAAATAAATTTAAAAACAGGCCAGGGATTTAGCTTAGTGGTGCTGCTGCCTGCTTCAAAAGTACAAGGTCTAGGGCCAGGGATTTAGCTTAGTGGTTCCAGCACCTGCCTCTCAAGCGCAAGGTCCCGAGTTCGATCCCCGGTACAAAAAAAAACAAACAAAAATGAAAGTACAAGGTCCTGAGTTCGATCCTGGTACCTGAAAAATAAAAAAGCAAAAAACCAGATGTGAGTGATGAAAAGGACTTCACAGGGTCAGAGAAGGCTGCTCTAGGGCTCGGTGATAGACACTGGGTCATAAGGAGGATGTGGTTAGACCAGGAGGTGGGTGAGACCAGACAGGACCAAGAAGGCCTGGAGGGAACACCCCTCAGCCCTGCCCCAGAGGAAGGACACCAAACCCGGGAGGAGGAGGGCACACTGCAGGTGCAGTGGCTGCATGCAGGAGCTGGGGCTTCACCCAGAGAACCAGGGAGACGGAAGGGCTCTCATCCAGGACAGCATGGCCCCTGGCACCCCTGTGCACCCACCTGACGCCTCTCCCCGACACACGCAGGGTCCTCCTTGGGGAAGAAGGTAACGAGTGCCCTGCGGACTGTTGAGGCTGCCCTGGCCTGCTACGACCTCACCCAGCTCTGCCTGGGCTTCAACGGGGGCAAGGACTGCACCGCCCTGCTGCATCTCTTCCACGCCGCTGTGCGGAGGTGAGCCTGGCCCCGCACCTGCTCTGCTCCCCAGTTCTCGGTCCAGCAAGCCAGGAGAAGGACCCAGGGGTGGCTGGGACGGAGGCAGCCACGCAACTCTGTTGCGCTGCCCACTGTATCTCCTGCTGCCCGACACGAGTCTGGCCCTCATGGGTCACCGCCACGGGCATGTTGTCCTGGTGAGAAATTTCACATCGGCTGCAAGCTCAGGCTTCAGACCTGAGACCAGAGTGGGCTCCCAGGATAGCGGGTCGGCTGGATAACAGAAGGGCCAAGTGGAGGGCAAACTCCAGGGAGCCTACGGATTCTCCCCTCCCAGGAAGTCTCCTGATGCCCCAGAACCCCTCCAGATCCTGTACATCCGCAGCATCTCCCCGTTCCCTGAGCTGGAACAGTTCCTACGGTACACCATCAAAAGGTAAGGGGCTGGAGGCCAGGCCCAGGGGCTGGCCGGGTGGGCTCTGACTGAACTACTCCTCTCCCCCAAGGTACAGACTGCAGGTGCTGGAGGCCGAGGGGGACATGAAGCAGGCCCTGGGCGAGCTGCAGGCACGCTACCCCCAGCTGGAAGCTGTCCTCATGGGCACCCGCAGGACCGACCCCTACTCCCACAGCCTGTGCCCTTTCAGCCCCACCGACCCCGGCTGGCCTGCGTTCATGCGCATCAACCCACTGCTGGTAATGGGATGGGGCCCAGGCCTGCAGGACGCCCAGCTCCCAGGGAAGAGCCCGGAGTCTGGCGGGGCGGGGCTGTCACATAAGGGAGGCGGGGCGGGGGGCGCTGCGCTTTCTCCTGTGCTGTCCAGCATCATGGCCACTGGCCATTGAGCCATACTTAAGTGAAATACAAGTTACTAGAAGCCACTGAGTTATATATTTTCAGTAGGTGATGTTTATGTCACATGAACTATATGTCATGTCTAAATACAATTAATTCAGGGCCAGGTGTGGTGCACCAGCATTCTGGGAGGTCGAGGGAGGAGAATTCCTAGTTTGAGCCTAGCCTGGGCAGTTTAACAATTGTGTTTTGTTTTGTTTTGTTTTGTTTTTTTAAACTGGGTCTCACTATGTAATGCAGGCTGGCCTAAAACTTGTGGTGACTCTCCTGCCTCGGCCTCCCAGTATTGCAATTACAGACATGTGCCACCATGCCTGTCAAGGGCAGTTTAGCAATTTAGTTAGCTAGACCCTGTCTAAAAAGAGAGAGAGAGAGAGAGAGATAGGGTCTCCCTGTGTAGTTCAGACTGGCCTTGAACTCACTATAGAGCCCAGGCTGGCCTCAAACTTGTGGCAGTCTTACTGGTTCAGCCTCCTGAGTGCTGAGATTACAAGCATGTGCCACCATGCCCAGCAAGGGCAATTTAACAACTTGCACAATAAAAAAAATGTTTAAAGGGCTGAGCAGCTGGACATTGGAGCATACACCTGTAATCCCAGTACCCTGGGAGGCTGAGGCAGGAAGATTTTAAGTTTGAAACCAGCCTAAGCAATTTAGAAGACCATCTCAAAATAAAAACTTAAAAGGGCTAGCGGGATAACAGAGTGCAAAGGACCTAGATTCAATCCCTAGTGCCATCAAAACCCCTTCAGTTCCACTGGTCATATACCACCGTAGTAAACAGCTCAAGCAGAGCATTCCCGTCATGGGAGAATGCTACCTGCCAGCCTGGCTTCCACACACGCAGGTTCGGGTCCCAGTCCCGGAGCTCCGCCCCGTGGAGGGTGGCCTGGGCGTGGAGAGGGGAAGCTGAGGGTCACTGCTTGTCCTGCACAGAGCGAGCTGTCCCGGGAACCGGAGAGCCCTCCCCAGGCGGGACGGCCGGCGGGCCTTGTGGGCCGGGGGGGGGGGGGGGGCGGGGCGCTTGACTTCTGCCTCCCACCTCTCAGGACTGGACCTACAGCAACATCTGGGACTTTCTGCGGCAGCTCTTCGTCCCATACTGCGTCCTGTACGACCAGGGGTAGGCGGGGCAGAGCACAAGTGGGTTGGGCGGGCGCGGGAGCGGCCCAGGCCCACTGCCCTGGTCCTCCTCCTCCAGGTACACATCGCTGGGGAGTCCCGAGAACACCGTGCAGAACCCGGCCCTGAAATGCCTGGGCCCCGGAGGGCACCCCACCTACCGCCCCGCCTACCTGCTGGAGAACGAGGAGGAGGAGCGCAACTCCCGCACGTGACTCCCGCGCCCCTCGGCCAGCAATAAACCGAGCTTCCCTGTGCCCGTTGCCCTAGCCATGTCTTCCTGCGCGGGACTCAGGGCTCGGGGCTCGGGAAGCTGCAGAGGCCTGGCCGGACCCTGCCGCTCTGAGCCGGCCTGGCCATGCCCCTCGCGGGGCGGGGCAGGCAGGCGGAACCAGCTGGAAAGTGGCTCCGTGGGTGATTCTGCACATCAGCCTCGGCCAGAGCCCAGCAGACTGGAGCAGGGGAGCGGGCGGGCGGGCAGGGAGAGGCCGAGCTGTCTGCTGGTCGTGGAGGACGAAAGGCCGGTGCCCTGGCAGCATGCGAGCCCCACCCATCCCTAGCCAGAGGGGCTGACTCAGCCCGTCGTCTGGGCCCAGAACCTTCCTTTGCTAGACCGGGGCGCCTCTGTCCCGAGGCCCGAGGGGAAGGGGACGGGCGGTTGATAAAAGGCAGCAAAGGCGACTCCCGGGCCTTTGCTCCGGCCCACATGCAGCCTCGGACCCAGCCCCTGGCCCAGGCCCTGCCCTTCTCTCTTGGGGGAGCCCTGCGAGATGCGGGGCTCCGGGTGCCTGTCATCAAGATGAGCACAGGGTGGGAGGGCCTGCAGCGGACCCTGAAGGAAGTGGCCTACATCCTCCTCTGCTGCTGGTATATCAAGGAGCTGCTGGATAAAGGGCAGCAGGAGCTGCCCCGCCTCTCCTCACTGGCACCACGGCGGGCATCGCTCAGGTGCGCAGTAGGGACAGACACAGGAGGCTTGGCCGAAGCACGTGTGGCACAGCTGCCTTGGGGAGACTCCGGGACCAGCTGTTCTCCAACGAGGAGAGGCTGGAGGGAGTGAGGAGTGGACCCGGCTGAGCTGGGCATCTGTCAGACCTGCCTCAAGTCTGGGCGTCTGCTCCCAGCCCCCTCTGGTGGACCTGCTGCCCGGGACCCCAGCAGGCCCCGGCCGGACCTGGGGCTCCTCCAAGCTGCAGCAGCAAGCCCACAGCCCCAGATGGTGGATCGTACCACACCACTTAGCTCTGTCAGTGGGCTTGGAAACCACTGGACCACACATGAAAAAATAAATAAGCCTTGAGGCCAGAAAGTTCCAAATGCCTAAATGGGAACAAGGAAAAGGGCAGACGGGAAGGCGGGAGTGCGGTCTGGATAAAAGTCATTTGAAGGCCAGGGTTCCTCACTCCCTGGGCCTGGGCAGGGAGTGGAAGGCCAGGCTCCCCCAACCTGTGAGTGTGGAGGAGCTCTTCTGGGTGGGTTTTCTGAGGGCCCGGGGTCCTCGTCTGGGCAGCTCGACGCCTCCAAGGAGCATGGGGAGCTGCAGCTCATCCCCAGCTCAGGAAGGAAGCAGGCCTCCAGCTGCAGCTGCCAGAGCACCCCGCTCAGGAGAAGCTGCGGAGAAGAGCACCCGTGTGCCCATGCAGGCCCCTCAGGCTGACCACGGCGGGCTCTGTTGGACGCACAGCCTGACGCAGTCATTTCCAAGGCTCGGGCCACAGGGTCCCACCCTGCCCACGCTTCCCGCTGTTTCCGTTCTGTGCCCGTGTGCCTCTCCCTGGGGTCCCCCCCCAATTCCCTGTTGCCCATCTGACCTTCTCACCGGGGGCACAGGGGCTGGGAGGCGGGATGGGGCTCCCTCCCTCCCAGGACCAGTTCTTCCTCAGCCTTCTTGATTAACTGCTTTTCCTCTGGGCTTTTTCTTTTACTTTTTTCTGGAGCTGGTACTGAACCTAGGACCTTCTCACTGAGCTACAGCCCCAGCCCTTTTAGTTTGTGAGACAGGGTCTCACTAAGTCTCTCAGGCTGAGCTTGAACTCCTGCCTCAGCCTCCAGACTGCTGGGATTACAGACATGTGCTAGCACACATGGCATTGATGTTTTTCTTTTTGTAAAAGTAATATACAGTATGTTTAAAACAAGTAATAGTAAAAAGTAAATTTTCAGCTGGGTTGCATGGTACACATTTGAAACCCCAGCTGCTCCAGTTGCTAGGGAGGCTGAGGCAGGAAGACCACAAGCTCAAGGATTACCTGGGCAACTTAGTGAGACCCTAACTCAAAATAAAAAGTAAAAAGGCCAGGAATGTAGCTCAGTAGTAGAATGTATCCAGGTTCAACCCCTAGTACTACAAGAAAATAAAAATGAGTTTCCTAGCCGGGCATTTAGCTCAGTGGTTCCACTGCCTGCCTTGCAAGTGCAAGGTCCTGAGTTTGATCCCCAGTAATCAAAAAAAAAAGTTTCCTACATCTATCCCCCAAACCCCAAGCCCTCTTCCTGGGAAGTAACTATGATTGCCAACTTCTTGGAGACCATTCCAGAGATAATCTATGCAAAGACTGCATCTCCCTTCCTTCAATTCAAATATTAATTAAGCATCTATATGCCGGTCTGGGTGCTATGGAAACAGCAGTGAAGAAAACAGACCTCTTTACTTGTGCAGCTTACATTCTAGTGGGAAGATAAATGATAGGCTTTGCTAAGTACACAGAGCTGTGCATAGTTGTGCACTTCTGTAACCCCAGCATTCTGGGAGGCTGAGTCAGGAGCAGAGCTCAAGCTCAGCCAGGGCAACGTAGCAAGACCTTGTCTCAAAAATACAAAAAAGGACTGGGGACGTAGCTCCGTATGAAGGCCCTGGGCTTCATCCCCTGTACCACAAAATAAAATAATATTACTAGGTGATGGGTACCATGGGAAAAAAAGTTGAGCTGACAGTGTGTGTGCTAAGAATTGGAGCTTTTATGATGAGTTTATGAGAAACTACACAAGGTTTGAACAGGAACTGATTTTTTATTTGAAAGGCTCACATGGCTTTTTGTGCTGGGGACAAACTTTAGAGTTACTCTAAAGAATGTAAGAGGTGCAAGGACCCGAGTTCGATCCCTGGTACCAAAAAAAAAAAAAAAAGAATGTAAGAGATCTCCTGGCCTGTAATTGCAGCCCTCAGGAGGCTGAGGCAGGAGGATCAATGCAAGTTGGAGGCCAGCCTGGGCTACATAGTGAGTTCAAGGCCAGCCTGATCTACACAGTGAGACCCTGTCCCCAAAAAAGCAAAGAGAGAGAGACCTCTCAGGAGGTAGTGAGAATAATCCAGACGCTTTGGTGACCCCGGCCAGGCTTAGAGCAGTAGCATTGTGAGGACTGACTGGATTCCGGACATGTTTATCCTTGGTAGCTGTTCACATACTCTGCACACTGCTGTGTACCTTGCCTTTTCTCCCTTTGTATACATCACACAGCACCCACGATGCTACAGTGGTCCTTTTGATGGCAGCCTAGTACTCTACAGTGTTCGAACTCTCAAATTGTTTCTTATCCCAGGCAGCTCAGTGACTCATGCAGAGCTGTGTCCTTGCCTCAAAAAAAAAAAAAAAAAAAATCAAATTCTGGGCTTCTAATGAGCCTGTCTTTCTTGGTGCAGATGGTGGCCTGTTTGCTGGCAGGCAGGAGCCAAGCAAGCAAGTGCGGACCGCCCCCCCCGCCCCGCCCCTGCTTCCCACCTGAACTCTAAATTTCTCTTGCTCTAGAATGGCTCATGTGGCGGCCCCAACTGCCCTTCCACCTAATCCAGAAGAGCCTTTCTGGCCAACAGCTCTCTACCGGAGAAGGGGGGATAAAAACATAAACAAAACGCTGAAGCTTCCCCACAATGTCACCTCCCAAACAGCAGCTCAGGTTTTGAGAGCGCAGCCGGCAGGAAAGCAGGTGTCCTTCGGAGGGGAGGGGGGTAAACGCATACCTGCCCCTTGGCGCCCCGGGGCCCTCTGCTGGCTACAAGGGGTAGGATGGGAGTGGAGCACACGCGGCGGCAGGGCTGAAAGGGAACCCAAGCAGGGGAGCGAGAGTCCAGGCCTTCTATCCAGGGCCCTGTGCATTGCATCGCCTGTGGAACCCTCCGCAGCGTGCAAGAGGCAGGCAGTGGACAGCGGTCAAGGTCTGAAGAGTGGAGCGCAAAAAGCGGGTACGACAACGATCGGGTTAGGGCAGGAAGGTCCCACATTTTCCCAGCAACACCGAGAGGTGCAGAAAGGAAGGGTGTGGCAATCACTGTAGGTACGGAGCACAGACCCCCAAGGGCATTGGTTTTCATTTGCATTTCGCTTAAATGTGAGTTATTTCCCGCTCCATTCACAGAAGTCCCCACCCTCTTTCTCAGTGGTTCTCAGATCCGAGTCCTCACCAGCCTTGGTGAGGAGGACTCATTCTTCCAGCTGTTGTTCACTGGTCAGCTCTCTGCCCTTTACCTACTCCAGCTTCAAAGCAGCGACGCCCGCTGGGTGTAGTGCGCATTCGGGAGGGAGACTGAGGCAGGAGGATTGCCACAAGTTCAAGGCCAGCCTGAACTACACAGCGAGACCCTAACTCAAAAAAACAAACAAAAAATCAAAGTAGCGACCCTAACTCCCAGCAGGCTGGCTCCCAGGGGCCGGGGACCTGCGCCGCCTGGTGGCCGACCGGGGAGGGCTGCGCACAGGGGTCCGTCTAGCCCGCTGCGAGACGTGGAGTTTTGGAACCTGTTCCCCGGAGCTTCCTGAAGCTAAATTTACCTCCCCCGGCCCTGGGGGGCGAAGAGATCCCGGCGGCGATTAGCGCCGCGCGCGCGGCAGCCGGCTCCAGCCGAGAGGCCCGGAACAGGCGCGGAGTTATAAATAGTGCTGCCCGCAGGTGTGGGGGAGGGGGGTCGGCGGGCGGGGGGTGCCCTGCGGGCGGGGGGTGCCCCAGCAGCCACGGCCCCTTCAGGTGGGTTGGGCGGTCGCGGTGGGGCGCTGGGGGGCGGCAGACGGGGGGGGGCTGCGGTCTCAGCGCCCCCAGCGGTTTCCTGGGCGGTGGGTTTTTCGAGGGAAGCGGAGGCAACCGGGGGAGGAAGGCAGCGGGGAAGAGGGGGCGCTCAGCCCCCACGTGCCACACGGGCCCCGGGCCCACTGGAGACCCGCCCGGCAGCGCCTGCCCTCCTGCCGCCGAAGCGCTCGCCTCCAGGCTCCGCGAGCACCTAACTCCTGGAAGCTCCCCCCGAGGCACAGGTGGCCCAGCCCGGGGTGCAGGCCTCTTCCGGGGCCAAGCACCTCACTGTGCTTACCGCTACTTCCCCCGAGGTCCGAACTGCGGGCCTGGGGCGCTCCTCCGTCCCCCGCAGCCCCACACCGCCCGGCTCCCAGCCTCGGTCCCGGCCGAGGCGGGCTGGATTCGGGGAGGGGCGGGCACCCCGTCGGCGTTTCTCGGCCGCCGCAGGCTCCGGGGCTTGGCGCCGTAGGGGCCCAGAGCTGGGGGTGGGCGGGAATTTCAAGTCGGGCTTCTCTCCTCCGAGGAGGGGAGCTGTTTGTACCAGAGAGGACTGAGGTGGAGACCGGACTGCGGGGCCCTAAGCGGGGAGGGCGCTCCGGCCGCAGGAAGGCCCGTGGCGTCCAGCCCACGCCCGGCGCGGTCTCCGGGCTGGTGCCGCCCTTCCATCCCCTCTGGAGGCCCGGCCGCTTTTCCGCCCGTCCCCGCCCTCCACCTCCCAGAAGCAGCCCCTCTCCCGGTGCCTCTGCACTGCCCCTGGCCTCTGGCATGGCCCTTCCCCGGCAGGCGCGACCCCGACGGCACAGGGAAGGGGGAAACCCGGCCGGGACTCCACCCGCTCCCACCCAGCGGACACCGTCGTCGGTCCAGTGGGGCCGAGAAGAAAACCCGGAGCCGCGACCAGCCCCGGGACCCGAGGGGGACAGGGACGCTGGGAAAACCCGGAGCGGATCCCGCCAGCCCGAGCGCCCCATGCCTGCTGCTGCCCCCTCCTTCCTAGAGCCCCCTAATTCTCCAGTGAGATAATGTCTGGGGTGGGGGGCTGTTTGGTTTGGCCTGAGCCGCCTGGGGCGCCTCACACTTTCCGCCCCTGGCTGGGGCGCAGGGCAGCGGCCCCGAGGCTGAGTCACCGCCGGGAGAGGACGGGAGGGAGGGAGGGGCGCTCCGCCCCTCCCCGGCGCGGGGATCCCGGGTCAGCCCGGGTGAGGGCCGGGGCCCCCTGGCGCCGCCCATTGTGGTCCAACAGGTTGAGCTGGTGTCCCGCGGAGCCACCTGCTGGAGGGAGGGAGGCCCCCTGCGGGGGGTGCGCGGAGGGCGAGACCGGCCCGGTTCGGCCTGGCCAGCCGCTGCGAGGCCGAACCAGCCCGAGGAGGCCGGATTTGATTCGGCTCGACTCCGGTGGGAGGGGCGCTTCGGGTACGCGGCACCGCGGGCCCAGCTGGAAGTCCCTAGCCTGGCACCTTTCTCAAGCGGGGGACACCTCCCTACACCCCTCCTTCTTCGACACCCTCGGCAGCCGGGTCTCTGAGCGAACCCTCGTCCAGACGTCCCTCCTTCCGGGGAGACTCAGTTTCCCCACTTGCGGCCTCGGCGGTCAGAGGCGGGGCGCAGGAGCCGGCGCGAGCGCGCCTCCCCTCCCCCGCGGCCGGCCCCTCCCCTCCGACAACGCCAAGGCCGCGTCGGGCTCCGGCTGGAGCGTGGAAGCTGCTCGCCCCGGGCCCGATCCCTCCCCGCGGGGCGCTGTCACGCGTGGAGAGGGACGCCGGGCGCCTGCAGCCTCGACTCCCCGGCTTCCTGGGGGGTAGGGGCCGGAGCTAAAGGCCTAGTGGCCCCCGCCCCCTCCCCCTCCCTCCCGGGGCCCTGACCTGATTACAGTCCCTCACGGGACCCCCTCCCTGAAGATCCTTGGTCTTCACTCCCACGCAGCCCATCCTTAGCCTCTGACACCCTTCCCTCCAGAGCTGCTGACCTACAGCAGCCTCTAGGAGCGGAGGTGGTCCCAGAAGGGGGTGCTCCCTTCCTGGGCCGCTGCGGACACTGCCCCCTTCCCCCTTCCCTCCGGGCTTCAAGCCGGCCCCTCGGCCCCGCCCCTTCCTTGGACGAACGGAGGCGGGACCCATTTGGGATGGGCAGGCGTTCAGGCTAATGGGCGGGCAGAGCGGTGGCGTGCAGGGGGCGGGGCGGAGTAGAGGCAGGCGGCGGGGCGGGGCGGAGCTCGAGTTAAGGTGGGCTGGGAGAGATAGGGGCAGGAGAGGAGGGGGAGAGACCGCGGCAGGTGAAGGGGGAGAGCGCGAGCGAAAGAAGGAGGGAAAGGAGGAGGGTGGGAAAAGCTCGGAGAGCAAAGTAAGAGCTTGGAGGACGGGGGCGAAAGAGGAGGGAGGGGCCCATCTGCGCCCCGCAGGGACTGGCTGGACGAAGGGGTTGAAGTTTATGTCCTTATTGGGCGGAGGGAGGGGGGCCTGG